TAAACGGTTACGTATGCTATGAGCAATCACACGAAAACAGGTTTATTTTATCCCAGCCGCCGGCCAGTCCTCAGTTACGTCATAGCAGTGAGGAAATGCCGTTTAGGTATGATGGACACCTCACCATCAAGGGGAAGGGTGCTGCATGAAGGTTAAAACAAGACACCATTAACCACATTATTATTAACATTTCCTGAGCTAGCACAGACTCGCTCTATATTGTGTATTTTTTTCCGTATTCTATCTTATATCTTGTCTATCCCCTCTCATTGTTATTTCCTTGAATTTCATCCATATTGCATCAATTTTGCTATCTTATTTTGAAGGATTTTTATTTTATTTAGTTCTTATTTGATTCAGCTTATTATTATCACATTCCATCATATGTTTCATTATCATGTCATTGCTTATTACCCGTAATGCATTTTAAATTTACTCTATTGATTTGTTGCATTAACTAAAACTATATAGATATGTCATTTCTCTCTTCCACGTACTGTATATTGCACAATTGAATACCTTTGCCATATATGGTGTTCCGAAGCTGTCACGATCAGAATAATAAGATATTTTGTCAAATTCTGGTTTCATTATTCTCATCATAAGACTACTTATGTGTTGAGTTGAATTAATGTCAAGTGTGAAGACACAATGGACGTAATTTTTTCGTAAGACGGCAAGTCAATGGGTAAATAAAACGCTTAAATTCATAATGGTAATGATATTTTCAAATAAATCGGCCCAAAAAGTGTAAAAATAAGGGTTGAAGTAGCTAAAAAGTCACGTGACTGCGAAGAGCTTTGATTGGTTGTGACGCCGCAGGTTGGCTCGAGCTGCCGAGCAAGAGCCTGGAGCTGGAGGCAGCCACTTGTGGTGTATGTGTTGTTACCAGCAGAAATTCAGGACTTGTGGCCATATACAGTGTTGATATACACAGGCATAACTTATTTTTAGGTTAAAATAAATTACTGCTCAAGTATCACCGTGTGTATTTACGTGCTGGATGCCAAAACGATGCAAAAGACCGATAGCTCCAACATAGAAGTTGTTATCACTGTTCTCTATTTCATGTCTGGAAATGTAGTTTTCGTCACTGATGTCTATATTTAATGTTGTGGGAGGATTAGGGACGACCATGGCCAGGGGATAGGCTCGAGATGATCAGATGGCAGATGTAATTTAACGTGCTTCATAGCTGGATGGCGGTAGTTCTTGATAATACTCTACAATCATAATGACATCTACTTTTGGTAAATTTCTTTCATCTGGCGCGAAAGTGTCGTGCTCGGGAGGTGTGTTCAAGCTGCGGGACACCCGGCCACACTGACGCTGACTGCCAGGCGGCCGCGAAGAAGTGCGCGGCTTGTGGTGGCCCTCACTCCTCCTCCGACCGGGAGTGTCCCAAGTGGAGGGAGGAGTGCAGGGTGGCCAGGCTGCGGGCTAAAGAGAAATTGACCTACAAGGAGGCCCTCCTTGTAGTGAAGAATCAAGAAAAGAACAACCAAGACAAGAACAATCAAGATAAAAACAACCAAGACAAGAACAACCACGAACCCGATAACATTACACTATCTTTGACATCGATTATTGATGTGTACGAGAATATCCTAACAGAAGACCAGAAAGAAGAAGACCAAAAAGAAGAAGACGAAGATCAAGAAGAAGAATGGAAAGTGAAAAGTAAAAAAAGAAACAAGAGAAAAAAGAAGTCCAACCAATCAGCTTCGGCCGAAATAGCCTAACGGCGAAGAGGCCAGTAATCCCCAACAACTTGAACTTGTGAGATTCATTCTGACCATTCTTCCTGAACAAGCAACACCTCCTCCTCCGCCGCTGCCTGGCAGCCCCTCGCTTCTCCTCGCCTGCCTGGCGGTTCTCCCTCCCGCCAGCGAGCATGGCGACCCACCAGCCGTCCTCTGAACTTCCTCACCAACCAACTCTCATTCTGCCCATTTTCCTGAACAAGCAACACCTCCTCCAGCAAGCTCCTAGCTGTTACATTTATTCAACCAGGAGGCCAGCAACAGGCAACATCTCTAACGAAGCTCCTGCACATCTACCTCCTTCAACACGCTACTCACCGAACGTCTTCTACTGAGCAGCTCCCTCACCAGACGGCATCTCCAGCACCAGACTGTCTATCATATAACTTATATATTATACAAGAAAACCACATTAGAGTTTCCTTCCATCCTGAGTGCTAGACAACATTAATATCTCGATACCCCTACACTAGCATCAGGCATTCTCAAAACAAAGTCCAGACATTGTCATTACTCGTATCTCTATCTAGTATTGACTTAGACCATAAAAAAACACCCTTAAAACTTAACTGAACGTTTCATTTGGCGTCTGAAGAGGCCATCCTTGTATTACCTCCGACTGCAGCTGTGAGTTTGTTGGAGAAAGTCGCCTGCGGGGAAACTGGTGATGTCATTGCAAATAGCGGCCCTGTTTCTAGAGAAATAAATTTATCTCGACTATTATAGCAGGACTTTAAACTTTTATTACAAATTATATATACCGTATCACTCTACGAACGTTGCAGATTGTAATGCTTGTGTTTGCTCAGAACCGACAACTCGTCCATTCCCTCAGATAAGCTTTCGAAAATACTTAAAAAGCGGTCGCCACCATAACTAACGGCCATATTTCCCCCCTTTTGCATTAATTCACTGTCGCGTTCCTTATTAGTATACTGTAGAGGTAAAACCAACACTTACGCTGGTGCCGGAGATGATGGGTAGGGGCAGGAGGAGGAGAGGAAACAGCAACACCAACACTGACCTCCAGTAGGGTTCCACCTCACGCCTCACAAACTCCATTACGTTCATCCCTCCCTGTGAGTGAGGAAACGTGCATGATGTAAACTATTTGTGGCGATACCGTGGTACTATTTCATGGATCATGTTTCTGTTCAAGTCACATCGGTAACAATGGGTTTTGGTATAGGAGAGATTATCTTTCATCTTATGGGTACAAAAACACTCATGTATCTATGATTTCCATTTAACTCTTTGTGTGTTCATAGTTTCCATTTGTCAAGTTTTGCGAAAAGAGATAGCTGAACTTTGTACGCACCTTGTACATAATTATGCTTGGCTTTCTCTTGTCTCTTTAGTGTGTACATTACCGTACTTATTAAATCTAGATTATTTTATGCGTTTCAGTCCTGGATTTGTTTCAGTTAATTTCTGTTCTTGATAAGGGGAATTAATATAGATACACACGTTAATGATTTAAGTTGGAAATGAATTGCGTCGAGCTGGCAACGAAATAATAATAAAAAACAATACCTACTGTCATTAGGTTAGGATACTTACCTGATGCTACCCGATGAGTGTGCCCCTATTTTTTCTCAAATATCTACGTTTCACTGATCACTTACTGTAAGTTCACAGTGTGAACCACTTGGCTGCAAGAGTCACACTGATAGTGACATCTCTGAGGCTCTTAGATGGCTTGATACCCTCCACTATCGTTTCCTCGCGATTGTAATATTTAATCACTAACTTTATATATTCGCCTTTACACAATAGATATGAGTGGTGGAATCAGTAGTGATTACACTTAATTAAATGAAATTGGGTTTGAGTTTTGAGTTATCACTATCTCTCAGATAAACATACAGCTGTACTGAATTATTTGGTACCACCTGTAGTCTGTAAGCTTTACTGATTCTCCTTATCATAATCTAGCAGTTGTGTATGGCCATTTATTTAAAGACGCACAGGAAGGTTTCCAACAGTCATAAAGGATACAAAGTTTGAAGAGTTGTTGCCTCAGGTAGTAGGCAGCTATCAAACAGGGAGGTAGTACCCAAGGTAGGTAGATAACCTACCTTGGGTACTACCGCCTTGGAAGATATTGGAAGCATAATGTGTTGTCTAATGGTAGACCCTGCTGCCATATGGCATCACGAAATTTGTGACCAAGTCCCAGGTTGCTGATCTGACTTTCTGCCACATTTACACACAATTGCAGGGTCTCAATTGTTTCTCTTACTTCGAGAACACAATATACATATATCGTTTCTCACTATTGATCTTTTTTTTATTTTTTTATTTATGATTCTTTATTATTATTATTATTATTATTATTATTATTATTATTATTATTATTATTATTATTATTGCTATTATTATTTTATTTATAGGCTATATTTTTATATTTTTATTATCAATTTTATTTATTATTAACTAAATATTATTATTATTGTTATTATTATTACATCCCCCCCCCCCAGGCCCCGATGCAGGTCAGTGACCTGTGCCCGGGTGGGCTAATCCCAGTAAAAAAAATAAATAAATAAATACACATTAGCCGGGGCACACAGCAGGATTGGTGTCCATTACTTTTGCAGTTCGGTAGGACACTGTTGAATTTGACAGTTGAAGTTGCATCAGGAAAAGTGTTGGAGTTTCCCCTTTTATTTATTTATTTACTTATTTATTTAATTATTTTGAAGATAACCTCAATCACAAATTACAGTTTACGTCTAGGTTCTACTTTTTCTTTGTCAGTTTTCATAATTTCCTTCGCTTCAATATCTGATGAAGATTCGCATACGGATTTTACAGCATCTTTGTCTTGTGAAATACTAGCACAATTTGTTAGTTACAATGTGGTGAGAAAAGATGTATTGTGGCAACGTACAGATTCACCAAATAATATTGTTTTCACAGCACTCATTATAACCATTAATAGATAATTACTATTAAGAAATTACATCGTAAAATAGACATTTGATTATATCTGTAAGTAATCTGCTTGAGTGTTCATGTACCAGTCGGTGTTACGATATGGTTTATCACTATCGGGAGTACGTTTCCTTTCCTAACTCAATTTTAGACCATCACCTTGACAACGTTTTGTATAACTAAAGAACAAGATAGTATTTGTATTAGTTGTCTAAGTGTTATTTTCTCGTGAAATTAATCTATATATTTACATGTATAAGTACGACTGACGAAACTGTTTTTCTTGGCTACTTCATCCTCGCCTGTCCCCCAACACCCAATATCACTGTCACTATCGCTATATCCGTGTATCATTATTTATCAGCATATCACCATCACTTTATATAATTATATCGGTGTATCAGTATCACTATATCCTTGACTATATCAGTGTAACACTATCAATGTATCAGTATCACCATATCAGCGCGTCACTTACATGTCACTTTCGGGTTTTGAACGTGGCGGTACTGGCAGGGGTCGTAGTGACACGTGACGACCAACAGATGGCGCTCAGTTCGAGTCGTTTAGGATGCCACAAACTCAATATGGACATTGTTATTGTCTCCTTTGTACATTTCTAACAATATCTTTCGACACGTGAGTAACAAAAAGTCTCCCAGTCAGTTCAAGGTAAGAGTTATGATGTTTGATATGTCGAGTCTGGGGGTGACAAGTTTACATAGAATTTTCTAAAAGTGAGAGTGAACATTAAGGTGTAGTTTTACACTGAACAAGGCCAAATACAACACATTCTTATGTCATTAAACGTCATTTTATTATCTCTCTAACTCTCAACAGTAGTGTCATCAGCTATTTTTTATCATTAACCAGTCATTCCGTCTTTTTACAGTAATAAACAAACCTGGTTATAATATTGACAGCTAAAAACTAATCGAGACATTATACCTGTTATGGATGAGTGAAAGTATATTAATTGTTATGTCAGAGGATTATATACACTCACGTCTTTATGTAGGATGTAGGACTGAATCATAGTTATATATTCAGAGAATAGCTGATAATAGTTAATTTGCAATTTTGTACAACCACGGATTTTTATTTATTTATTTTTTTTTTGGTTTTCACAATTCTAAAATATTTTTCTTCTGTGATGTTTCCCTCATAAGTGACCTACAAAGTTAACCGGGAGCTCTGCCCCATGGGTAAATTTGTTAAAGTCATTTGATATTAAATTTTGTAAGACACTTTTCTTCCATGACATTTCTCTCACAAATGACCTAACCTAACCTTGTAAACAGGGGGCTTCATCCCCCTGGACCCCTGGCATATATAAGTCATTTGTGAAAGAAACGTAACAGAAGAACAGTGTCTTAGAATTGTCTGAACTATAGAGGAAAATTGCAGAGATTCCGTGGTTGTACGAAATTGCAATAATACTATAGTAATATGTACCACCATTGTCATTACCTATGAATTATTATTTAAAACAGATCACCCGAAGAATATCCACCTCAACTTATTTCACCTAAAGATTAACCATGGTTAATATTTCAGAGTTGCCATGCACAGAACTCTATATTGATTCTTATATAGGGAGATACTGTAGTGTGAAAAAAAAACTTCTTGTAGCATTTGTAAAACAATTAGTTTTAAAGCTATTTTTACTTCTCTATTTCACTTAAATATAATACAGGTTCGCAGGGAAATACATTGTTTACTTATTGCTCAGCCTATCAGCAGAAGTTTGGATGTCGCGTGATGCTTGTGAGCCAATCAGCGGAAGTTTGGATGTCACATGATACTTGTGAGCATGCGTAAACTCTAGTATTTGAAATGCTTAGTTGCAAGATGGCGTCTGTATGTGAAGGTTACTTCTCGGCAAATTGGCGTGTAATTCATTGAATTATTGAGAACGAAGCCGCGGCTGTTGAGATCTTCAGGGCTCATGGTGTTCTCCCTTCTTCAGCCAAGTGTCCAAGGTGTGATTCAGAATGTCAGTATCGTGAAGATCGACACACAGTATTTGGTATTTAGTAAGAGACAGCCACTTCCTAAGAGGTAGAGAACTCATCTTTTTGCATCTGTTAATTAAGGTAAGTTTGTTTCACATTGGTATAGGTCCAGGGGGCTGCAGAGGTTAGGTCAGGCCCTTCGGTTTCTCTGGTTAAGAGGTTTTGTTTCGTCAATTTTTGGGTGTTTTTACCCCACAATTTTCCTTAACTTCAAAGCCCTACCCACTGTGTGCAACCGATATTGTTGATAATTGGGGAGGGTCATATCTTGATAACTACTCATTTCCGACAGAAATGAAGGTCAAAATACTGTAGTATGAAACACTATAAAATACACTAGAAAAACCTATTTTCCTTAGTAATTTCCATGCATGGCAACTACAAAATATTGACCTTAACCACCCTAATGCTAACCTAACTTAACTTCATCTCCCCAAATAGTGTTAAGGTGGTTAATCTTTAGTTGGAATGTTAACTGAATAGAGATGATTAGGAACACTGTGATTTCTCCAGCAATTTTGATTTTTTTTCACATCTATAGTGAGTCAGATCATTAACTTGTTGGAATAAGAAATTGTCTCTTGAGAGTTTCTACAAAAAGAGTTTCAGGATTGTTAAGGTCATTTGATGTAACTTCATTATTCCTCCCTGTTTATATAACCATAATTTAAATCCCCATGACAATGAGGTGGCTACAGTTGCTAAGTTATTTGTATCTCCAACATTACAGTTTGTGTGTTGACAGTTAGGTTGAAGACCCTGTAACAAATCCCCTTCTGACAGCAGGTGACACATTACCAACCTAACCCAACTTAACTTGATGACCTTGCTTTTTGTCTCTTTGCTAAGTTATTTATTTGGATGTGATAGATTAACTCATGTACAGAACTTCACTACATTGCATAGTTCTCCATGTTGTATCAGTCGAAAAATAATTGTTTCTTTATTGCTGAGGAGAGGATTAATAATAATATTTCCACATCCTGTGACGTACTTTTCTTTCACTTACTTGGTACTGTACATTTACTTTCTCGGTCCAAAACTGGGTTACTTCTTGGTTTGCGTATTAATGGCTGGCATGTACTGTACAGTACAGTTCTGTAATTTGTTAATTTGGTAGGATATTCTAATACTCCACAGTACAGGTTCAGTACAGTATTGTTAAGGGGAGATGTGAAACAGGGTTCACTTGGTTTATAAATGATTGATTTACGGATGATTTTCTGTAATGAAACACTGTGCATAATAGAAGGATGGCTGTACAGTTTCACTGGTAAGTTGTCACCTCATACAATGTTATTTATTTTTTCTAGGTTATGAACATGTCTGGAACAGGGAGTACATCAGAGAGTCGTAAGTGTGTATTCTGCAACCAGCAGTTCTTCACAAAGGTTGATCTGCAGAACCATTTTAGGTAACATATTAGCAGGTTCTTCCTAAATCATTTGGGAAAAACAGATGTTAATAAGATTGTGTTAGTTTCATATTGAATTATTGCGTTATTAGATTAAAAATGAGGTTTAGCGTGAGATTTTGTTTGATTTGGGAGAAGTTTGTGAAAAGTTTTTCATTGTGTAGAGACACACAAACCCAGACTATATGATCTTTTATGACAGGAAATAAACTTTGGTAGTTACAGCATTTTGGGGGGTTTGAGTGAGATTTGTCTTGAGTTCTTATTTATGTGAGTTATTGACAAATCCTTGGTACTATACGGTACAGTACAGTGACCCCTCCGTTAACGAACTCAATCCGTTCCAGAAGGTCGTTCGTTAACCGAAAAGTTCGTTAACCGAAACCATTGTTTCAATGGGTTTTTGGGTAATTGGTTCCAGCTCACCGAAAATTTCCTAAATTCAACAAAAATGGTAGAAAAGTTCACTTACTTTGAGGTGTGTATGTAGAAGGCTCCTGGATGATGATGATGATGATGGGATTTAGAATGGGGGTGGAGGAGAAGGAAGAAGAGAAGGCATTGGGGTGGAAGAGAAGTCGCCCCATGGCGCCATTTCACCCATAAAATTTTAGCTCTCTGGTGTAATTCAAGATAATTTTCTTTAAATCAACACTGCACTGCATTATATATTGTCAATATGTAAAATATATTTCAAAATGACCAATAATTTGCTTGGAAACACAGAAAAAAAGCATTTAGTTGAAGAGAGTCTCAAGCAAGATGTTACCTCCAGTGAAAACAGAGAGAGACTAACGCCTGTTTGCTGTGTTAAGAGGCTGGATGCCGCGCATTAAACTAGTCACTTTACCTTCAATTATGTTCAATAATTGTTAAAATGACTAAAAAATTGAATATTAAACTTTTAAAATTATTGAATAGTGTAAACTTCTTGATATTTACTAAAATAGTAAGGAATTTAAGCCCTAGAACCGATTAATGTATTGGCGGACTGATACTAAAGCTGGTTGCCTGGTCAGTGCAAGCGAAAACACGTTGAGGTCGGTTCGTAAGAACTTCGTTAACCTAATTTTTTTTGTTTACTGAATTGAAGATCCTTATGGAAGGCAGTTCGTTAATCGAAATTACGTTAACCGAGGTGTTCGTTAAACGAGGGGTCACTGTATATGAAACTGCATATACAGCTCCTCCCCGACTTACGACCTACTCGGCTTACGACCACCCGGACATATGACCGCCTCAGTCTTACCAAAATTTTGTCAAATTACATATTTTCGAGTCCCAACGTCAGTGATTGCGCTGTGTACTGACAAAATTTTCGTTTGTAATTCACTTTAAAATGGCTGGCAAGCTTAAAAGTGAGAGTTTTGTGGTGCTGAGATGAAAAAGAGACACCCATTTTAAATTTTCTATGTATTATTTAAGCATTTTCGACTTATGGCCTGGATTTGGGTCCCTAACCCCATTGTAAGTCGGGGAGGAGCTGTACAGTACTGTGCAGTATTCATTACTGTGGTATTTTTCCAGAGATGAATGCTCCGAGTTATTATTTCATCTTCTTACCGGTAATTGTACTCTATTTGATGTAAAGAACAAATGTACTGTCATAATTAGTGTACGAAGATTGATTGATACAGTCACTCCTACATGTGTTAAAAATTATGCCCTATCTTTTAATTTGATCAAAGTTTATTATTATTATTATTACAGTGCAAGTGCAAATTAATCCGGGGCTACTGTTTAAGATGCTATTCTGATAGCAGTTAGACACATATTATTTTCATGGTTGACTTATTTGGCACTTGAGTGTTTTTTCTCGTAGGGGAACTTTACTTTTCTTTAACTACAGCGTTTATTAGAAAACTGCATTACCCCCTTGGAATACCGTAAGAGAATTATAGTTGACAACAATACAGTATAATCAGTTTTGTATACTTATTGCTTTAACACGACTTGATTTAAACCTTTGTTCTCATGTGGCTTGCCGTGAGGTTGACAGAAGAAAGACCCAAAATTGATGGACTTGGTGATCCACAGAATCGTTAGTCTCTCTCTCACTTGTTCATTTCCTAATATTGTAATTTCTTTTTTTTTCTTTTCAGGCGCCATGCAAATGGTGAAATTGACATCAAAGGTTTTCCCCAAATTCTGCAAAAGACACCAGAAAAGTTGGAAGACAAGAGTGATGAAAAATCCGCAAAGGACATAGGGACCAACAGTACTGGCACCGGCAAGAAGGGAGACAATGCTGTGTGTGATGTTTGTGGTGAGAGTCATTAAGGTTCAGTTATTATTTTGTGTGTATTGTATAACCTTGATATGAGAAGTCTCACCATTACAAGAGAAAGGTTTGAATGGTTACCATATGTACTGTAATAAAGCCATTCATAGGAGCAAACTTCCCATTCCTGGTCATTGTTCCTATTGTATCAAATGGGTATGTTTATAAACTTCCTCTGGTGTTGGATTATTTCTCTTTATATTTTGGTAGTCTATCTTTCATTAGATCTTTTTGCTTCATTGGATGTGACTAAAGAGTAAGGCTTAGCTTTTTACGTCAGATGAGTCATGAGGGTATAACTTGTGGGACACTTGTCTGTGAGTTAAGGTTACACACACACTTGATAACCAAAAATTTTGCCTTAGTCATAATGAATGTTGCTAGTTGAATTTCTTCTTTGATTCTATTCATTATAGAAAATGGAACAAGGTGATTGATTGCATTTTATGCAGTAGGCATGAAATTTTAATTGTAATCTCCCCCTGGTGGTTGTTGATATATACTCACAAACAAGCTCACATCTGTAGTAGATCTGTGGTCTTCCAGGAAAGATGAGAATTTTTGGTAATGAAGTTCTTGCTGATGGTCACTGCTGAATTGGAGGTGTTGGGGATAAACCAGATGGATATCTTATGGCCTTGATGTGGAAGAACACCATAGCTGAACATGACTGTTACACTTAGAGCAGGAAGAGTGAATGAATGACAGTGAATATAGAGAGAAATGACTTATGCTCTTGGTTCTGGCCACTGTGCAATACTGTATAGCAGAAAAAGGGCTTCCAAGGGTGTAAAAGGGGTATGTGTATGTCTTGAACTTGTAGTTTTCCAATGTTTTCTGTTGCTTTCCTAGTTACTGTACTGTATTTCTCTGTTGTTGTGGCAGGGGAAGCCTTCCGCACAGTGTCCCTGGCCATCTCTCACAAGTTTCGTAAACATCCAGAGTCGGTCATCAAGCACTACTGCCCTCACTGTGGTATGATGTTCCCTATCAAGGTAAGTACAGAATGTACAGTACAGTATATTCAAGTCTTACAAACTATTCGGTAATTCGGTAAGTCACTGACATTCGGTAATGTCAGTGACTTGGATTACTTGTAGGAAATAGCATATGGCAGGACCCTTGGGACCAAGACTGAACCAGTTTTGAGGATTTTCCTGTTTCTTGGGTTCTAGATCATCCATGTCACCCTCAGGTCTACCAGTAGACTACAGTACTTCAAGTTTTTCTTCAACACACACACACAGGAACTCATTTGAACATTTATTTTTCTTATTAAATAACAAAATAAAGAAAGTACAAGTATTGTTGTATACGTACAGTACAGGTGCTCCTCTACTTAAGAACGTTCAACTTACAAACTTTCAAGAGATACAAACATCATCACTGAGGGGGGGTTACCTGCCAGAACAGGTGTTTAATGTGGATGAGACTGGATTATTTTGAAGAAGATTCCGGATAGAACAAACCTGAGAGGAGAAGAGCGAGTCAGGTTTTAAGGCTGTATTAAAGGGTATAGCTGTACTAACTGTCCATAATCTTTTCATTTTTTACAATATGTTTGGCATCTACAAGAGTAAAGTTGGACTTACAAACAAGCCTCAGGAACATAACTCGTTCGTAACTAGAGGAGCACCTGTACTTTAGTTATAAAAAAATGCATTAAATACAGTCTATCTAGAAGTTGAGAGTTCCCTAAAAGAAACTTACTCTATGTGAATTTGCTGACATTCTAGAAGCTCCCAGTGAGTAATGACATTTGCCAGAAGTAGAGCATTCATAATTAATTATTATATGATTGAATACAGTCTCTCCTCGACTTACGACATATTCGACTTACAACAACCCGGACATACGACGGCCATGGTCGTATAAAATATTCACTAAAAATTAAAAAAAAAAAAATGGGTTATGTCTGTTACTGGATTGTAATAACTTGAATATAATCACTGCTGGGTATTTCATATATCTTTTTGTTCTTCTATCAGAAATGTCGAATATATACATGATTTTCAAGGATTTGGTGATGATATGAAAATGTTCACGTTATCGTATTTCAGCTAAATCGTGACAAACACCTGCTGACTCACCCAGGCACGGCACCAAAGCAGCTATACCCATGTCTCACCTGTGGGGTGGCTTTCTATAACCAAAGAGCTAGAAAGTTCCACATGGACTCGGCACATAAAGGGTAATGCTAGTATACTGTATGTACAAATATTCTTTAAACAGCCTGGATTAATTCGTCATTACTTTTATGCATAAGAAAGTTGTTGATTGTCACAGGAATATATTACTGAAAATTTGGATAAAATTCTCTACTTGATTTTGCTGTAATGTACAGTCACTCAAAAAACTATCTTTACTTGGGGGGAGACGACGAATTGCAGAATGAACACCGACTCCTGTTGTCTCGGTACGGTTGTCTAAATCCTTTGTCTGCTGTGTCATGCTGTCTAACACAATTTTGTAAGGATAGTATTTTGATTGACTGTACTTTACATTAACGTATTACTGTACTGAAAATGTTAAGAAATGTCTGACTGACTTTGCTTTGATATTAAGTATAATTGCCAGCTGTTATATGAGTGAGCAAAAGCAGTTATAGATACACACCACAAGTTTTTCATATTATTTTGATGATTAGATAATGCTTTAGTAATGAGTTAAGCCTCAGCTGAAGTCAGTGTGGCTAAAAACAATAAATTTCATTCCAGCAGATGTGAGATTACCCGATTTTAAGAATTTTTAAGTAAACTAAGAATCTACTTCATAATATAACACATTCTCGGTTAGTGACTTAGTTGTTCAGGGGTGTGTTGAGATAATGTGTAACTGCAGTATGAAAATGTGGACCTTTGCCATCTGAGGTTGTTTTGGGGTACCTCTAATTTTGAAACTGGTCAAGTTTGACACATGGGACTTTGCTTTGTTCCTGTTATACAAACACTACTTAACGCAGGTACTGTACATTAAAACTGTACCTAACCCGTCTTTCCTTCAGTGGCATAGGAAACTGCAGATGTGAGTGGAAACTAATTTTGAATAAGTTTGAATCTTTGTAGCTATAAATATCAAAATGACTAATTTACATTAATGTACCTTCAGTTTTCAAAAGTAATAACTTATCAGATCCCAAGATGAAAGGTTGGAGATAGTATAATGTATCAGAGTGCACTAACCTTGCAATTAGGAAGTGAAGGTGATCCAGTGCAGTGCCAGCCACACTTCCTGTTTGTACTGAAAGTTTGATATTCAGTTTGCTGTATCTGCACTGCCTCAATGGGACCCAATTTAGCTTTTTTCTACCATAATTGTCATCTTCTGATAGCAACAAGTATACAGTAGAATAAAGATATCTTATAAGGTTCTTTAGACTTTGTTGTTGAATTAAAGGTCTTTTCACAATCCTGAGTCCTCACCTCAGTACAATATCCCTGTTTTTCTGACACCAACACAATCTGTATAAACTCCGTCAATTCTCTTGCAAAACTAATTACAGTTTAGAAATATGCAAACAGTGTGAACAATCATGGAAGAATGTTTTTGACAACTTTTTTTTTCTGAAAAGCTTATAAAAAAATTTATGTTTTTAAGTAAAGTGCAATACCATTGAAGTGAGGAACAAATACATTAACATTAAACTAATGATGATTTGTTAAAAATTATATGCACATCCTAATTTTGTCTGATTTCTAATTGCTAATTTTGCCGACTGAATGAGTCCTGTCAACTCTACAGTAAGAATATTATGATTATATCTCGGTTTCTTACTTCAGATTATTGTAGCCATTTGCAAACTGACTTACGGAGCAGGCACAGATGAGATGAGAAATTATTTCTTGGAGGTAGAAGGAGTTTTTGAAGGGGTTATTTTATTTTCGCTCATAGTACAGTACTGCACTGTAGGGTATAATGAAATAATTAATTAGTCAAAATGCAAAATTCCATGCACTGTATATTGTAAACACAGCCATCTTTGAATGAGTCCCACACAAAATTAAAAAGAAAAAAGTTAAGTGCAACAAGTGAAGAGTATGTGTGACAATATGTGCTTATACTGTTAAAATGAAACATATTTGTGTAGTAAAAAAAAAGGTGGGGGAGTCATTTTGGGTTTCATGAAATAACTACCCGTAAAGTAAAATATTGAATTATGAAATAATAATGGTCTACTGAATATACTGTACTACATGTATTTGTGACCTGTGTGCATGTTGGATGACTTTTGTTATAGTACACAATCTATGCAGATGAAAACCAGTTGAGAACGACCCAGGAAAGCAAATTTTGAAGCATCGAGTCATCAGGGAGTGGAAGATTATTGAACCCCTGCCCTAAAATATATGCTCTTGAGATCATATTATTGTTAGCTATTAGTGTACAGTACTGTACTGTATATGTATCTGTTAAGTGCACATTTGTGTCGCTGTGGAAGAAGAAATGTTTAATAGCTGCAAGTCATAACTGAAGTATTTATTTGCTGAGGCTTGTAGAAACTTAGATATTGATTTTCCTGCATCCTTTTTTTTCTTTTTTCATTTTAATTCTCCATTGTATTTCTAAAAGTATATATGGTTCTTTGCAGCCTTCTGTTGTGACTCATGATACTAATAGCTGTGCCATATGTGAGAAAATAAAGTCCCCATAAAATATCCACAATTTAGTTGACTGTAATGTAGAAACTCGCTCCCCAGGTGGTTTCTTGTATATACCTGTAGCTGTATATTTGGAGCACTTGATTACCAAATGCTGAGTGTCCAGTTGAAGAATTCATCATTCATTGTTGGTCCTTATGTTACTTAAATTTTACTTTAGCTGTATTATTATGATGGTAAGCCTAATGCATCCACTTAAGAAGTGCCTTTCAATATTACAGTGCAATACGTATGGTTAATCCTATTAAGACCCCAGCTCCTAGTCTGAAGATAGTGCTAAATAATGCAGGAGAAGCACATAGTGTATACTACTGTCACCTGTGTGGGTGTGAGTACCAGGTGAAGTATAATTTGCAGAAACATCTTGGGACACGACACACTGAAGAAGAACGTGATGCTGTTCCAGAGTGAGTTGCTGGTGTCTTTTTTTTTTATGCAATTATGTATTTGATTATTTTGTGCCTCTATATATAACATTAAGTTTCCAACACCATTAACATTTTAGTCAGCTCTAGCTCAGTGGTCCTGTGGGTTTAAATGTTACACTGTTAAAAACACCAAGGGAGTGTCAATATGGGTGAATTTTTATACCTTGTTTGGAGAAAATGTAGATGAGATGATAGTCAACTTTACTGGTCAGAAGCCAAGATATATAGATGATTTTAGACATGTTCTTACTATATACATTTGTACTTCAAGGGGGTGGTTAAACTTATTGAGGTAAATGAATAGATAGAATGATGTCACGTTTTTCATGCCACTTTTAATGTCATGGATAGATATATCGTATTTATATTGTAGGTCACGTATATATAACTTTTGTATGAATATTACCTGTACGTACAAAGTCAGGAGAGAATGTGAAACTCATCAAGGTATTCTGTCGACTATTGAATTACAGGGAAGTGGTCCAGTGCAACTTATGTTCAGCTCTCTTTTACTCGAAGAGAGCGTATGATGCACACAGCCATCATCATCGTGAGAGTGACTTATTTGCCACCAATGAGGAAATGAGGTGAGGTCATAGATAAGACACTATAGTACAATATACACTGTATTGCAATTCAGCCATGCTCTCCTTACAAGTATATCAATATTCTTTGTATAGATCACACTTTACTTTGTATTTTATGCAGAACATTAGTAATTTATGTGATTTCTCTTTTAGGCAACAAGTTGTACAAAGGATAGATCAAGATTTTGACCAGCGAAGAGTTCCCTCTACTGTTGAGCGCTACCTCTCAGCCTCTGCCGTCAGTCTCAATCGTTCTGCTACTTGGCGGAATATTCAAGCTGCAAGGAGGGCTCAAGTTACACAAGAGTCCCCAGTATCATCAGAAACATTTATACAGAAAGATATATCATTATCAAAGGATTCTTTTGTTGAAACGTCATCAAAAGTATCAATGGTGCATCACCCAGAGACTTCCTTAAAAGAAGAGGTTAATTCTCCTCTGTTGTCAACAAGTGGACTGGGTATGAGTGAGGAAAATATAGCTAAAGCATTTGATGATGATCATGAAAAAAGGACTATAAACAAAGGAGTCAGTAGTTTAATACAGGGTGAGAACATGTGTTGGGGATCAGAGGAAAGGGTTGCCAGTAAGAAGAGGATGCTGGATGACCCTGAGGAGGACGATTGTGATATAAGCAGCTTAGGAACTGTGAACCCAGACTCTGTTATGTCCAACCCAAGAGTTATGGCTGGAGAGTGCAGTAGTAGTGATGGTATCTTAGGAGAGTCTACAGAAGAGCGGTTAAAGGAAAGCAGTGATGTTGTGAAGTATATAGACAAAGAGGAAAGGAACAGAGAGACAAACAGAAGTTCTCTTCTGTTCCACAGTGGCTGCCATGTGGAAGGAAGAGACAGTGATGGAAGTGACAGTGGAGAATTGGTGGTATGTTATCTCGGTGTAATTCACTAAAACCGTAGAAATGTTAAATGTATTCAAATGAAGGAGTAATCTATACTGAATGGTCCCTATCTTGTAATTAGACTAGGATATTAGTAGCATCCCCTGTGTTCTTTGTATTATAATGTATATCTTCATTAGTTACAGATATCAAATAACACTGAGAATGAGACTGCTGCTTTCTGTTTAGGTATATCCAATGTTACACCCACTGACCAAGAGCATAGAGATACTTGAGCCACTTAAGTTTTGCTTAATATAGTTTGAATTCCAACAGCACTGCTAGAAACATTTTGCTGGAGACATGTTGGTTTGTCAGAGACCAAATACAGATTATATGCTGTAAGTTTCCCTTGTGAAGAGAATCAATAGTAGATAAATTAGCCATTTCCCTGTGAAGGAACTATGGGAAGATAAACTATATAATCTGACACAATCTTGTGATGATTCATGTATGATGTGCCATCTTAGTGTCCATGTTTGGTAAAGGATCTCTTTATCAAGGAAGCTTGGGTCTAATCCAGAAATTGGCCAACTATTACTCACAAAAGGGAGATTAGAAGCCACAGACAGTCAAGAGCCTGACAAGTGTGAATCACTTTGTGCCATGTTTTCATTTCTAGTGCAATGACATGGAGCTAATTATAATAAGGGGTTGTTTTTCTTATGTGTTGCTGTGATTTCAGATTTACCATATACAGACATGTGGCCAGATCAAGAAGGTAATTTAGACTGTGGTTGCATCATTTTATGCAATCAGGTTTAGGGTTTTATCATAGGAAAGATCCCAGGAAAGGATGATATGGTATTTAACTTCATTTCTTATTGTTCTCATTGACATTTTGCAAGTTGCCCATCGTTTCACATGAAGAGGGCAAGGGAAGGTGAACCCAGGGAAGCCCTAACCAACAGCAGCTGGTTCATCTGAAAGTTAATTTTTTTCATTCACAAACAAATCTAACCTTTAATAAAGGGTAAGAAAGAAATTACTGTACAGTTTTGTCAGCTAACAAGTCCAGAGGTCACAGCACATGCTTGATTCAGCCTGCAGGTTCAGCCACTTCTTCAGTTGCCTGCACAGTGGCAAGACCTCTGGTCTCTGTTTGTTCACAAAGATAAGTGGTGGCTTCTTAGTGCACTTTGAGCTTTATTGATTAGGGATATACAGTTGTAGATGTTAATTTTATGGTAAGAATAGGGATTTTTTTATTATTTATTTATTTATATATTATTATTAAATATTTTTTATTTGTTTTTCAAGTGCTTTTAACCTATTTAGGCAGAGTAGTTGTACCATTTAAAAGTTGTCTGCTCACCCCAGCATGGTTTGGATTGCATTCATGAACCAGTGTTCATAACCCAGTGCTGCTTATATTTTGACATGTGTTTTACAGTACATTGTCTTGGTCTTTGAGGAACCAGCAATGTACGTATAGTCAAGTTGAATTACCAGGTATAGATTTTTTTAATCACCATAATTCCTGCTTGGGGAGTTAGTAGAGTACAGTGTATGTGATGGATTCTTTTTTGAGGAGTCTTATCAACTGACTCCTGTTAGTTAGGTTGTAGCAGTGAGAAAGAAGTTCTGTTTCCCCTTAAATCTGGGCAACTCGTCTACACACTGTGATCCCATGGTAAGAACTCCAAAGTCATGGAGTGGCTCCCAAGCTTCATTTCCAGGTTGGCACTTCAGATAATTACCAAGGACTTCCTTGCTTGTATTGCTCTTACTTTTGGTTAGCAAATGACAAACTTATTTCACTTGTATTTTTTGGCTCTTTCACACTTGTATTTGATAAAGTTGGACGTCCTTTTATGTTTGGGATTTTGTTTCCAATAGTGCACCCATAATGTGCATTGATGATTTGGTCCATCTGTCCTTGAAGGTTGGAAATTTCTGTTTTCTTAAAAAGGAAGGCAATTAGCAAAGAGTTGCGGCATGAATGTTTGCTCTACTTCTGTTTTTGTGTCTCATAGTAGATGTTCTTGTGTTTGAATTGAATTTACGTTGAAGTTTTCTTATGGGCGTAACATTCATGCACATACTGTTGCATTTCTACAAGTTTTGTGTGTTTTGGTAGTGTATTGTATGTAAGTTTCCTTATCCCAACTATTATAAAATGGGACATGCTAAACCAATCCTTGATGTCAATGACATTGCCTGTAACCAGGTGGCTTGGATACTCTCACACCTCCCTTGTATTTGTGGCTTTGGCTCTAGTGAAGATCTAGTCTCAAGATGGCCATGTTGCACCAGTTCTCCCTCATTGGAATGGATGGTGTGAAGGATGATTAGTATATCCAAATAGGTTAATAGATCTTCATTTAGCAGCCTTATTTTTCAAGATCTGCCAGTTTTTAGGGTGATGATTACTATGGAATAATAGGTTAATCTTCAGCTTGAATTCCAGCTACTGTACTGTACCATAGTTTGGGGGTTTTCCGGACCAATCTTGGATGTTTTGGCGGTGCATTATTCACGAGTTGTTCCTTAATTACTCTGTTATGAAATGGGATTTGGGATCAAACCTTCATTTTCCTTGAAGATAAAAGTGTGTTCACTACTCTTGAGAAAGTTATTAATTACAGTCGTATCTAGTGCCAGTGCATGATTTTCATAATTGTTAATATCTAGTTGCATCAAGCTTTATTTACATAAGGTTAGAAAAAAGTTAAAAATCTTATAGTAGTGCTGCATGTGCTCAACTTATTGCAGGTTGAGAAAATTGTTGGAATGCACCGTAATGTTCATGGTCGAGAGTTCCTCGTTAGGTGGCGTGGATTTGAGCCAGCAGATGATACGTGGGAAAGAGAGGAATTTCTAAACTGCAATGAACTTATCTCAGATTTTCTCAAGAATAAGAAGGTATAACATTTTGTTCTTGCAGCTTTTACTGTAATGAAAATTTTTTATTTATTTATTTATTTTATTTTTTCATTAACCCTTAAGCCCGGGGTTAGGGTGCAGTACAACCCCCCCCCCCCCACACACACACACACACAAAAAAAAGTGGCAAGACTAGGCGGACATTCTGGAACGTCACCCGGGGCCTAAGGGTTAAGAGAACAACTATTGAATAAATGTTAAAGTAAACATTAAATATCACTTACTCCAAAAGACTATACCACAGGATGATACAGTATGTATTTCTTCATTTCTGTGCATAAAGGCATAACTAAAAGCCAAACAAGGGGCTGATGCTTTGCCATGTTTCAATCACAAGTCAGACCTTCATTTGACTAAGCACTTTACATCAATACCTGCCCAGTGGGAAGTTGTTTGATAAGCTTGCCTATTGAAGATTGCTGCTACTTATGACATGTCGATTACAGCTTCTGTGCTCCACCAGTTCCTCTGTTGTTAATACAGTTGGCTTTGTATTAATTTTGTTCCCATCTGCATCAATCTCAAACTGGGACTTTTGATACACCAACCAGTTCCCCATTACTCAGCCTGAATAATGGGTTTGAGATTGCCTTCCATTTCAATATATTGAATTCAGTGGTGCTGTCCTTTAACCCACCATAGAATTTTGCTATTGCTCCTGACTACCTTTGAATTTCTTCTGTGAATTTGGATATTTGTCATTACCTTAAATATGATTGACCCTTTAATTGCATTTTTGGGGCAAGATGGTGTAAACAATTATACAGATCAGAGTAAGCACGACTATTTTACCTTGGCTAAACATTAACCCCTTGTGTATGAACTCCCCTCTGAGCTGAAAAAATCTGTCTAATTGTCTGTCGTTAGCCAAATAAAATATATTAAAGGTGGTGTCCCCATGGTGAAGGGGTTAATCTTTCCTTGGGGGACCAGTTGTAGGTTTGTAATTATGTAACTGGACTAGATGCTGAGAAATTTTGTGTTTGTACTATTGATTGATTTCTCTTAATAGGATATTTAAAGACTTCATTCTAAACAATATTGCTGAAAAATATTTTGTCACAATTAGTTCCAGGTTGACCCTTTTCTGTCTTAGGTTGAGTAGACTAGGATATTTTAGAGGAAAAACATAGAGCCCAATAACTTGTGTATTATAAAGGGTGTGCCAAAAACCCATACTCTAAGGCAGAATTCATCATTTCCCCTTTATTTTATCTGAGTTTCAAATTACATGCCATGAACTTACATAGATATAATTCCTTGCACATAATCCCCTCTGAATGTTTCTCAGTTCCTCCACATTGATTTAAATGTATGTGTTCAGAAAGATATTCTTCATTTTGTCAATGTATGAGTATGAACTCTTGGAATGCACTGTATATTTAATGTACACAGTAAAATACTTCTGTATAGTGAATATGAATTATTTAGGTATTTGGTTTAACAGCTTGCACTTTTGTTATTAATAGAATAGAAAGAGCAGCTTAAGAGAAAAGCTTACTGTGAAGTTGTAGTAATTACCCTTTTGGTTATTCCACAGACCAAGGCGAGTGTGCAGAGTGGTGATATGGCTATTGAGTGGTATGATACACCCAGACACAAGAGACAGAAGGAGAGGCAAGTCGAAGATGCTATAGAATAGTTCTTGTTGGCTGAATACTGTATGTAGATACTTAAAAGTGTTATTTATCGTAATTTCTGTTTGTATGAACATTCCTCTATGAGTTAAATGTGAATATGTACAGTGTTAATTGATATGTATACTGTACTGGTATATGTAACAAATATACAGTACAGTATATGTATATACAGTGATCCCTCGGTTAACAAGTTACCTTTCATAAGATTCTTAACTTTGGTTAACGAGCAATCCCTCGATTCACGAGTTTTTTACGAGTCGACCTCAACATGTTTTCGCTTGCATTTGGCGGTCCACCAGCTGTAGTATTAGTCCGCCAATACAGTAATCAGTTTTAGGGATTAAATTCCTTACTATTTTAGTAAATATCAAGAAGTTTATACTATTCAATAATTTTAAGTTTAATATTAATTTTTTCAGTCATTTTAACAATTATTGAACATAATTGAAGGTAAGGAAACTAGTTTCATGCGCGCCATCCAGCCTGGCAACAGGCGCCAGTCTCTCTGTCTTTTCAGTGGAGGTAACATCTTGCTTCAGACTCTCTTCAACTAAATGCTTTTTTTCCATGTTTGCAAGCAAATTATTGGTCATTTTGAAATTTATTTTACTTATTGGCAATATATAATGCAGTGTAGTGTTGATTTAAAGAAAATAATCTTGAATTACACCAAGAGAACTAAAATTTTATGGGTGAAATGGCGCCATGGGTTGACTTCTCTTCCACCCCAATGCCTTCTCTTGTCCCTTCTCCTCCACCCCCATTCTTATTCCCATCATCATCATCATCCAGGAGCCTTCTACATACACACCTCAACGTAAGTGTACTTTTCTACCTTTTTTGTTGAATTTAGGCAATTTTCGGTGAGCTGGAACCAATTATCCAAAAACCCATTGAAACAATGGTTTCGGTTAACGAACAACCTGCTGGAACGGATTGTGCTCGTTAACCGAGGGATCACTGTATATTATAATTATCAATAATTTACAGGCATCCCTAGTTCACATGAAGAATGCCATTAAAGTTTAGTAATTATTAAATAAGTATAGTAATACAGGTTGGCAATCCCTTATCCGAAATCCTTGGGGCCAGAGACATTTCGGATTTCGGAATTTTTCGGTTTTCAGAATGGCTTCTTCTTCTTTTTTTTTTTAGCCTACCCGGGCACAAGTCACTGACCCACATTGGGGCCTGGGTGGCAAAAATATAATAGAAATTCTAGTAATAATAATTCATAGGTCTAGTCGTGTTTCTCACTTTTGATCTTTTTTTTCATTCTTGTATTTCTTTATTATTATTATTATTATTATTTTATTATTACAGTATTATTGTTATTATTATTTTTAATTTTATTATTATATTTTATTATTATTGTTATCATTATTATTTTATTTTGGTGTATTTTTTATTAATATTTTTATTTACTATGAATAATTATTATAATTATTATTACTATTACATTTTCGCCCCCTAGGCCCCGATGTGGGTCAGTGATCTATGCCCGGGTGGGCTAATCCCTGTTAAAAAAAAATAAATAAATAAAAAAATTGCCAAAAAAAAACCTTTCGGTTTTTAGAGCTTTTCGGTTTTTGGAATTTCGGATAAAGGGTTGTCAACCTGTATAATAAACACATCTCAAGTCACCTCATATACAGAATATGGTATATTTGTTATAGTATATGTAAACACAGGTATGCCTTGTTATTCATGTGGGATAGGTTTCACTCATCCTACAGGACAAGTGGTGAAAAAACTTCTATTGTCCTGCAAGACTTTCTTCCTGCTCTTCAACTTGACCCAATGCAAACAGAAAGTAATCAAGTTATGATAATAATGATATACATCATATAATAATGAGACTAACCTCTTTGTCTTTAGTTCAGCTTGTACTCAAAATTTATAAATAGTTTTATCACATCATGAAATCACAATAAAAATTTATGCAGTAATGTAACAAAAAAGAAACATGCACTTGCCCGGGTAAACCGGTGCAAAAACATGAAAGTTCCTTGCACTCATCGACATGTCTCTCTCTTAAATACTGTATTAGAAGCAAAGATTTTTTTCAAACCCTGTACTGGACATATATGAGTTACTACAATACCACTTTCTGAAAGTGACTCTTCCATATTTTAAACTTACACTGCAGTTATCTTTTAAAATATCTTGCAAAGAAGGGAAAAAGATGGAAGTGAACCAATGTCAAGGTATCCTAAGAAAAATAAGGCCCCTCTAGAACAATCTTCGTGTTGTATTTGATTACTAGATAAATCTTCAAACTTTAAAAAGATGAATTATATATCTGTTTGAAAACTATACTTACCTGTATCCCATTTAGGTACATACAGTATATTTACATCAGGTAATTGATTGACCCAGTTTTGCTGTATATGTGATATGAAGCATTATGTGCAAGAAGGGAGAATCTGCCATCATATCGAATACACGTTTTCATTGGTGTCTTATAGCCAGCTGTATGGTCTTTCATGGTTAACAGTCTGACACAGCAAACCGTCCTTCTTCCCAGTGGTTTTAATGCTGCTTTTATGGTGTTTTCGTGTGAGTCTGGTAGTGCCTAAGCATTGCTTGATTATCGATTCACCCCCTACACACTTAAGACAATCAGAAGGTCACCACTAGGTTGGTGAGTACAGTTTTATTATTGTTATTATTGTTTTTTTTATTAGCACCCCTTTTGACTGATATCTTCTTGTTTGAGAGAAAAACAATAAAATTTAATTTAATTTTCATAAGTAAAAACATGCTCAGTCAAATTTGGTTACTGTACACCGTTTTTTCAGTATACAGCTCCTCCCCGACTTGCAATGGGGTTAGGGACCCAAATCCAGGTCGTAAGTCGAAAATGCTTAAATATTACATAGAAAATCTAAAATGGGTGTCTCTTTTTCTTCTCAGCACCACAAAACTCTCACTTTTAAGCTTGCCAGCTATTTTAAAGTGAATTACAAACGAAAATTTTGTCAGTACACAGCGCAATCACTGACGTTGGGACTCAAAAATATGTAATTTGACAAAATTTTGGTACGACTGAGGCAGGTCGTAAGTCGGGGAGGAGCTGTATGCCTTTTTATGTGCTTTATTTGTGATATTAATTATATGTACCACTTAAAAAAATTTATTAGTGATTAATAGTACAGGTAGTTATTATTAGTAGTAATCAGGCATATTATGGAATGTGATACATTTTTCTCATACATCCCCTAAAACTACAAAAAAGGACAAAAATTATGAAAATTGGTAAAGATTTTGTGGGTAATGGACAGGGAATAGGTTCAAAACTTTAAACACGCTCACCCTTCTTACGCGCAATGCCTTCTATACAGTACTCGAGTATATTCATGATTTAAGTAAATATTTTATGATATTAATAATCTTTAAGAAATTCATGTAGTTTCTTAGTCTTCCAAATATTTTAGTGGTGGAATAAATGACCATTGCATGAGAATATCTCCTGATCAAAACTATGTGACTTGTATTATATTTAAGTGTAACCTTTGTTTCTGATAAAATAATATATTTAAATATACCATACAGGTATGTAAATAAATGACACACTTATGGGGAAACTTTGTATATGCTTGATACACCTCAAACCTTTGTGATAAACATTAATTTCAAGAGTTTTTGTGGCTGTGGTGAATGAATGTCTGCTCCAGTGCTGGTAGCTCCTAGTACATGAATGAAGTTAGTAACCTGAAGGCTGCCTTGTTAATAGGTTAGCAACAGATATTTTGGTGGATAAAAAAATAAAAACAATAAAGGTGGATAATTAATATATAAGGTAATCTAAAAGTACTGATAAGACTCAAACTTATTCAAGATATTGTGTCACCAAGATGTAAAAATAAGTTTGATTATAATATAATCCAGTTAATATGTTTTTGGAAGGTGGATGGAGAAGATGAGTGCAGTGCAATCATGTACATTGTATGTGTGGGTGGGTACAGGAGTAACTCACATTTGGAAGCAAGTGCAATGACTCATCCAGGTGTATGCTTCATACACCTGGTTTCAAGTGTCCCACACACTTGTGTACATTTATCACACTAAATTACAAATACTATTCTTGCACATACACATATAGGTGTATATGTTGCAGACCCACAGACAAAAGTAAATTTATCATACACACTGGTATATATGCCATACATGGGTACAAGCACAATACATACACCACATATACAAGTGCAGAGACTAGACACTGTACTGTTCACAAATAGGTTTATGTCCCTTGTATTTTCCGTATGAAGGAATCTGTTAGTAAAATGCTTAAAATACTTATATAGTATATTTTTCATGGGTCCAATTTAAATTGTCAATTTAAAAATTTACATTATTTACAGTAAACTTGATATGAACATAAGAATAATATCACAGATTTGCATTTTCAGTAACAGACTTTTTTTTTTGATTGAATTCACTATTTTCTATGAGATAACTCACATGCTGCACCAGGTCATCACAGAATGTATCAAGATACAAGGGAGATGTGCCAGTTCCCCGAGTCTTGATTATATATTGCACCATCTGGTCCACTGCACTACGGAGCTTCAGTATAAATCTGCCAGTCCTGGAAAGGACAAAAATGAAAGTAAGGAAAAAGGAAAGGTCAAAATTAATGAACTTGGAGCATATTTTTCAGACATAACATTAACCACATCTTTGAGGGCCAAAGTGGGAGTCTGACTATGCTCTACATAAAGTACTGTACAGTACTGTCCACTCCTTTCATTTCACAGGCATATGCTTACATCAGTTTCCCATTTACTTTACTAGTCTTTGGCATTTTGCTGTTTCAATTTTACTGTCATTTTACCTTTAATGTTATTGTCTTTTTTTTTGGGGGTATATAAAGCAACAAAACTCAAATTGCAGGAACTGAGGTGGGTAACTAATGATGCTAAGACTAGCTACCAAATTTGTTTGCTCCACTGATGTGAGTTTAATTCCATTTAAATTTTTACTTGTTTTAGTATATATTGTATAGTCCAAATAGCCAGTCTTTAAAGTATTAATTACTTGTACAGTACAGGTATATTCGATTTGTATTTTTTGTTATGTTATAGAGCAAAAAAACTCATATTAGGAACACATCTTCAGAAACTATTTGCAATTCAATAGGAAAATCTGCTTTGTATATCATAGTGTTTTACATGAACGACATTAAGCAGGGAACAACTGTAATGTACGTACCGCAATTTTACCCTACATTCAGCAGTAACAAGGTGCTTAAGAGATTTTGTGTAGGTCACTACTCTGCAGAAAAATACAACCTACTGCATATGTACAGACTAAGGTCTTTAGCAGTAAAATACATTACCTTTCATCAACAGAAAATGACAGTTGTTCTTTTCCATCAATTCTAATTACACAGCCATCGTCAAATTCTTCCATTGTTAGGGAGTGTCCAGCAAACAATGCTACACTAAGAGGCTGCATCACTGACAGGTCACGGGCAACTGTTCTTCTCGATACATCATCTCTGCTTAGATGAATACATAGGAGATGCTGTGAAAGCTGAACTGTATCCTTAGAAATCTGATGAAGCACACATTCACTTCCTGTATCTATTCTTGCCCCTTGCCTGCAAATATCAGTTCCATGGTTGAAGAATTTATCTAGTAGGAATTTAGGTCAGCAATAATGAGCATGAATTATAAAATATTTACAACTAAGAACTAGTGGTTTCTTATAATTCATGAGGAATAGGATGAAGTTAAGTGTAGTATGTATAAGCAGCCTATATGAAGAAGTAGTAAATTCAACCTCTTGGTATAATATATGGTAGTACAATTTTGTGTGTTACCTGGTTTATATGTTAGAACTTGCAACATAAATCAGTGATTAACTAAGCAATAAATGATGCAATAGTGTACCCGATAAACTACTTACTCGGTATTAATGACGAATGAGTCGGAATTTAGGATTCCCTTTGAAAAGGTACCTCTCTGTAGGTGCATGACATTTCCAATCCCTGCCAACAAAACACCCAGTACCAGCTGTTTGTTATGGCTATTGACATTCCATGAAGAAAATGATGATGAAATGTCTTCTTTATTTACTAATAATCCATCATGTAAGTGGTTACCATAGACACGTTTTATACCTGTGAAAGAAAGAAGGATTTCCAGTTATAAAACTAAGTACAGTTGATGGCCTTGCAGTTCCAAGACCTTCCTGAATATAATATCCATGCCATTACTTAATAGCTAATGTGACATTACACATCCCTATTGTAGCCCAACTTTCACTGGGGACTACTTAATATGTAAATCACATCACTAACCTTGATTAAAAAGTAAAGATCTATGACTGATATTATTATCATTACAAAACAGAAGCTTGTCTTCATAGTATTCCAGTTCATTCCACTCTTTGATGAGTTCTAATATTGCTAAAAGATCACTAGTGGGGTCAGCTTTAGCTTTAGTTTCCCTTATCATAGACCGCAACTCAATGCTATTATGGAAGATGCCTCGTCCACTGGTTAAGACAGCAGTAATTGTAAGGGCAGCATCCACACACCTGAAGTAGAAGACCGTTATGTCAACTGTTACAACAGAAGCACTTTTTACAATCAATATTTATTCTTCTAAAACACACAAGGCTTTAACAGCTCTTTTCACTACCCGGTAATTGCAATTATCATATCTCCATGCTAAAGATAATTTAAGCAGCCATATTTTAGAGGGTTTGATAACCAAAACCAAGTCTAACTGAAATTTTTTTAGCTGTAATATATACTGTACTAACCTGAAAATAGAGGCATAAACAAGAGCTTTTGACAAGTGAGGTGGTGTTGAAAATTGTACAACACGTCGTCCAAGGTCAGTAAGGGTTTCACCGTCCTGCCAATCTTCTGAATGGAGCATGCCAAGGTTCTTTAGTGTACTGACAGCTGCAAAGACTGATCTCCGTGATGGCACACTGAGCCCATCAGAAAGAAAACTTACCACACTTTCCTCTCCACAGTGAGACTGAAAAATAAAATATTAATAATTTTCATTATACTGTATATAGAAGAGCTATGAAGGCATGAATAAAAGGAAGGACAGCAAGTTTGGTAAATAGGAGTAAAGTACAAATTACAAATGGAAGATAAATCCACTATTGTTTGCAAATGGTACTGTTGAGGTGGGCAGTTGAGAGGAAAAGTTACAAATATTAGTGCATGAGGCTGGAAGACTGAAAAGTAACAGTGAATGTGAAAATAAGTAAACAGAAAAATAAATGCCAACTTGAATAGTTATATAATGGAGGAAGCGAGTGGATGTGATAGCATATAAAACAGTGGGTGATGAGACGATTCATAAAGTAGCTGAGGACCACTAAGAAATGTATGGCAAGAAAGAACTGTGTCAAAGGAAGCAAAGTTGGGAATGTATAGAAAAAATATTAAGAGCCAACACTCCTGTAAGGCAATGAAGAATGGACTCCAGGTGCATGAGGAAGAAGCAAAAGAAATGACTTGCTTGAGATCAATAGGTTGTAGAAAATATGAAATAAGATAGAGATATGGAAAGGAAAGAAGTGTAGGACATAGCTGACCAGGGTTTACTGAAGTAAGAATATACAGTAATAATATACAGTGACCCCTCGTTTAACGAACACCTCGGTTAACGTAATTTCGATTAACGAACTGCCTTCCATAAGGATCTTCAATTCGGTTAACGAAAAAAAATTCGGTTAACAAAGTTCTTACGAACCGACCTCAACATGTTTTCGCTTGCACTGACCGGGCAACCAGCTTTAGTATCAGTCCGCCAATACATTAATCGGTTCTAGGGCTTAAATTCCTTACTATTTTAGTAAATATCAAGAAGTTTAAACTATTCAATAATTTTAAAAGTTTAATATTCAATTTTTTAGTCATTTTAACAATTATTGAACATAACTGAAGGTAAAGTGACTAGTTTAATGCGCGGCATCCGGCCTCTTAACACAGCAAACAGGAGTTAGTCTCTCTCTGTTTTCACTGGAGGTAACATCTTGCTTGAGACTCTCTTCAACTAAACGCTTTTTTTCTGTGTTTCCAAGCAAATTATTGGTCATTTTGAAATATATTTTACATATTGACAATATATAATGCAGTGCAGTGTTAATTTAAAGAAAATAATCTTGAATTACACCAGAGCTAAAATTTTATGGGTGAAATGGCGCCATGGGGTGACTTCTCTTCCACCCCAATGCCTTCTCTTCTTCCTTCTCCTCCACCCCCATTCTAAATCCCATCATCATCATCCAGGAGCCTTCTACATACACACCTCAAAGTAAGTGAACTTTTCTACCATTTTTGTTGAATTTAGGAAATTTTCGGTGAGCTGGAACCAATTACCCAAAAACCCACTGAAACAATGGTTTCGGTTAACGAACGACCTTCTGGAACGGATTGATTTCGTTAACAGAGGGGTCACTGTAATGAGATTATAAAGATGGGTAATGGGTGTGAAACGTTGATGATGGTGCTGGTTCAGATCAGGCCAATTTATGTTAAGTTGTAGTTGTTTATATACAGTACTAATTTTAAACCGGAGAATGACATGCTTGAAAGAAAAATTATTATGCTGACCTTACACTGAAGAATGACATGTTCCAAAGGTATTCTCATAATTTCTGGAATTGGGTATTGACTCATATCTTGGTGAACATCCGATGAATAAAGATGAAACACTTCGCCAGGCTGAACTCGACCGGCCCTACCAGCCCGCTGTTGACTGTTTGCCCGAGATATCCAGTGATTTCCAAGCACAGTCAAGTCTTTCTTACTATTATATCTGGGGAGGAGAGATACTAATCTACTTTAGTGTTCCTTTAAAGAGATTAGATTCATGTGCTCAGAGATACTGTACTCCATATGAACACAAAATTCTAGCCACACAAGTTAGGGGTGAACAGTCCCACTGGCTGGAGGTGGGATTGGAAGTACAGTATAAAAATAAGTATTGAAGTAAACTCATAATGATTTTCTTACTATTATACACAGTATTAATATTCTGAGACCGGAAAATGACTGCCAAGGAAGATATTTCAAATATGGGATGACTCCAGAAAATGCGATACTCAACACTTGTATAATTTATCCCTGATATGTAAAAGTGCTAAGAATCAACTTTCATTCTAGGTCACTGCCTTTCTCAACTACTCACTAATACACCTCATTAATGAAAGAATAACAAACTGTGGTGATCTCCCATCTATTCTGAACTTATACTGTACAGTATAATCAAATAAATAAATAGCTCTCAAACAGTACCAATATGCCTACAAGTATTTAAAACAAGTTAACAAAAAATCTTGGCCAAAGTTTATGACATGGAGATTGTCATATTATAATTACTTCACTGCTGAAACATGAAATGTTTGTACAGTATTGTGGTTATTCACTAGAGTAATAATGGTCTTATTAACTAACAAGTGGGATTCACACACTACATTATACTAACAGTATGTTGAAAAATACTTTTTTGAATTGTAGTTGACAAGTAGGTGTAAAAGGAAGCATGAACTCTCTAGGGTTGATGACTTTGGAATTCAATGGGTTAAGAATAGTTAAAAATATAAGTATTTGGTTAAACTATCTCTATGTAGCATGTAGGCCCTGATAAAGAGGGTTCTTAATACAAGCACTCACCTATGCTCTTTATGAAATCCAGAGTCAACTACATACACAACATCATTTATTGTTAAACTTGTTTCAGCGAGGTTAGTGGCAAGTACCACTTTTCGCTGCCCATATGGTGGACTCTCAAAGATCATCTCTTGGCTTTGTGAGGTGAGACGTGAGTGAAGAGGCAAAACCCACAGTTTCTTTCCCAAATGCTTATGTTCCAGTAGTCTGTCTTGTACTAAAGAGATGTCCTGCCATCCAGGAAGGAAACAAAGAATAGCTCCTGGAGGTCTTGAGTGATCTATTGCTCGAATCACAGCAACAACAAGGTCAGTGTTGACAATAGGTCGGGATTCAGGTTTCATGAGAGCTTCTATCTGGTAGCGTTTGGGGTTAATCCCAAGTGTATTTAGAACATGAGGAAGGTAGTGCCGTGTGAGGGGATACAGTGTGCCAGGTACCTCTAGAAGTGTGGTTTCATCCTCACCAAAATATTTCTGCAATTGCTTGGTGCTCAAGGATGCACTCATTAGAATTAACCGTAAGCTACTATGGTTTCGCATAAGACGATGTAACAGAATCAACAGAAGGTCAGTCTGTACTGAACGTTCATGAACCTCATCCACAATGACATGTGATATACCCTCTAAAGTGGAATTGGAATGAATATTCTGAAGCAGCATGCCCGTTGTACAGAACATAATACCACCCCGATTGCGGAGTCGCTTGTATTCTAAACGCACATGGTAACCTACACTCTCGCCCACCTGTAAAGAGATTTATGAATGAGTATAGCTGCAATAACTTTTATACAAAATATAACAGTTTATGTAAAATAGCATAACAGTAATCTGTAGAGCTTGTAAACCTATGCTATGAGGAAAACAGACCTGATCCCTGATAAACCCACAAGATCCATCACCAGGGACATCCTCTGCCAATAATACCAATAGTGTTTCTAATACTTCTGGCATTATACACTAACTTCCTGTGACATCTTGGGGTCTGTCAAAGAACAGATCTATTTAAAAAAAAATAAAAATAAATAAATAAAAATTGTTCCCTATCATTTTTTACAGTAAATATTAAATATCAAGCAAGTAAAGTGGCATGCAATGTGTACTTTAATGAAGCTTCAGTTTTAAGTACGAATTTTTCTAATCACATAAAGGAAGTTTTTAACAGTTAAATATGGTATACATAATTGCAAAACCCTAATATGCCAATATAAAAAAAAATAACAGTTACTGTAGTGTGATATAAATATAAAAAATCAAAATTATCACTTCATTATCTTTGCTTCAGCATTTGTCTAACCTTTTCATTTCTTTCTCTTGCAACTCGCTTTGCCAGAGATATTGCAGATATTCGCCTTGGTTGGGTAATTAGGATATTACACTCAGAGCCTCTACCTTCTTCAGTCCATTGGTCCAGTATCATCTGTGGTACCTACAATAACAATGAAAAGGGTTAGCATCTATTTCTGATCAGTAAACAGTAAAGAAAAAATTCTAACACCCTTAAACAAATGGACGATGGTTATTTTTATTATTATTAAAACAGGCATTAAATAAAGTGACTGGCATAAATACAGATACTATAAGCAACTGGTTATGGATAGTGGAAAAAACATTATACTGTAATGATGCTGGGAAGGAATGCAATAAATCTCATAACAAATTAAGTATTTCAACAGTTGAACTCCACCCAAAACAGACTTGGCTATAGGAATACTTTATGACATTTAATATTACCTTCTGTAAAATCTGGGCATTCCACCCAAAAACCTGGACTTCTGGTCCTCCAACTTTCAGTTTCTGGTTTACATTGGGCAATAATGGGTGTGTTTTTCCCATATACCGGTATGCCTTTATAATATCTCAAAAAGCTAGCAAAATGCCTCCATTGTAGTGGGGCCACAAAGGTAAACATATTTTGCTGTTAATTACACAAAAAGTGAAATTATTATGCAAACTTACTGGTGGTGTCTTAAGTTACTGAAACCCAAGAACATCCAAACACTGGCAACTGTTAGGTCCCAGGGGTAATGGATTTGAGAGGGTTTATTCTACATGATTACAGAAAAATGCTGTGTAATCTAAGAATTATGTTTCTATACAAGGTCTCATTATAGTAAATTGTGTTGCTTGAACACTTAAGGTTATGGGAATAATTACTGAATATATCTGAACCTGTTTCCTTACTAGGTATTAATAGACCTACAGTATTAAATATGTTACCACCTATAAACAGACTTTAGCAATAAATTCAACTCATATCTACTTCAGAGACAGTGGTGCCAACCTATCAACTTATAATTTCCTCTCCTTGTTTCTCTTCCCTAGTCTCTTGTACCCATGCACCTTAGCTAATACTTTCCAGGACAGTATTCTTAAACAAACTCCATACCTGTGTACTCTTGCCACAACCTGTGTCCCCAGCCACAATCAATATTCGTTTTTTATCTAGTGCTTCTTGCAAGTCTGACCTGTAAACAAAGGATCACAGTTTAATACTTCTTATTTCATGGTACAATTAATTACCTTGCCTACAACTGTGGGGTAATGTATTGTTTTCAATCCTGTCTCTCTGTCTGCTCCAAAATAACTTGATAATGGGTTTCCAGTTTGCAATAAACTTGGTAGATATGATCAACATGTGACACATGGTTAACTTAAAGTGCATTTTGCACCAAAATTAACTAGGTGTTGCCATTGTAATGGTTTGTTGGATGATGTTTAATTACTTCTACTTTACCCTGCCATCCTTTTCAATTCATAATCTGATTGAATAAACAGGATGGTTAGCAAAAGGTTTTATTTTGTCATATCAATAAGGTAACTAAGAATAATAATTAATGTTTTTGTCTTACAGAAACCTTACTTATATAAATGGATAAGTTAAGATTTGTTATAACTACTGAACCACTCAGAAGTGTGAAATCTGTATACAGTATGCTTACCATCCTGATCACAGTAATATGAGGAGCATTCAGTAACCTGGGTAACTAAAGGGCACCTATAAATAACTACAGTACACAACAAAAACATTAATGCTCACTTATACTGAAGCATGGGAAGAGACACAGAGTCTTGATCTCTGCTACTCTGATGCTGCAATTTGCTGTACAGCTTGTTGAGGAGTTCTCTGTTACGGTAACCAGAGTTACCCAAGTCCTCTATGTTTCCAGTATATTCCTGTCCAGTGAGTAAATCTATTTTATACTGACTCTTCTCCTCCAAGTTGTTGGGCATCTGAGACATCTCTGATGTGAAATAAACAGAATGCTAAAAAGCTTTATCACTTTACAACTTACAACTGATCTTCCCTGGTTATGTATTAAAGTCTAAAACAACAAATATGTTCATAAAACAGAGAGAAATATTGGTATAAGAATAATACAAATGTACTATGTATAATAATTACAGTAGATTCAAATTGGCAGCTGCAAAACATCTTACAAAAACATTATTTAAGGCTTTTCATTTCTTACATATTTGAACAAATATAGTAATAATGCTTGAGAAGAATGACAGAATATGTATATGTTAAGTTTAGTTCTTGTTACTATCAATAAAAAACACAAGTTCTACAAAACAATTTTTATCAAAATATGACATATCTATGAGGCAGTCTTATGTTTCAATGTTTTTAGAAATTATAATGAAGATATGTATGTCATAGAGTAAGTATATCACCATTCTCATTTTCATTCAATCTTACTATTTTATCTATTTTCATGAATGAAAATATATACTGTATATGAATTACCGACCTACAGTAGAGGAGACCGTTGACTTTCACTTGGGTTACATTCTTTGAAAACATTGTAGATATGGAATCCTCAGAAATGGAAATACTGTACAGTAAATAATTTATGAGAACAATGAGATACATTCTGGACCCTGAATTTCTGCTGGTAACCAACTAAATTTGAAGATTGAAAACCCTAGATACCCCATCATAGTAGGGATTTTGATTTTATGGACTATGTACTGTACCAACTATGTACAGTATACAGTATTTCAGATTGAGAGTGATAGACTGACCAAAACACTGGGCTACCGATCTAGGGACAACGTTCGTTGCATTTACATTGTTCCCACTTACCCTCATTACATTTACACTTACATCTTCCATATGGGGGGGGGGGATTTTATGTCATTATAATAACCAAAAGAGGCAGAAAAGGGAATAGTAAAGAATCTGCAAGTGGCCAACACCACTGAATGTCTTAGTAAATAGTAAAAAGAAACCCTCGCCAAGAAAAAAAAGGACAGTCATGGAATGCTGGTAGACAGGTTTCAGGGAGTGAGGGATAGGGTGAAGGTTGGATGAGTAAAATGGAGAAAGGTTGAAGTTGTGTCAGACAGATGGATGCCAAGAAAATGGAAGTAAAGGTTAAAAACAAAACAATGATTAGGACAGTGTTGATGTGTGGAGTAGGAAAATGGGCATTAAGGATAGAGGAAGAATTGCCCGAGAGAACTGAGATGGGATGTTGTAGTGAATATTGGGTTTGTCATAGATGGAGACATGAGGGAACTGATGCAAGAGTAAGAGTGACAAGTATAAGCAGTGAGATAAGAGAAGTAAAGCTGAGTTGGTTTGGTCATGTGGTACAATGAGTGTATTTATTATCTGCAGCATCCAACAGGAATGTGCCCCAATACAAATTAGAGTCTCATTGTATATCATACTGGATATTCAACAAAACGCCATTCCCAATTTTACCTACTCTAGAATTCACAAAATTTAAATTTTTAAGAAGACTGGTCTATAGAGTACCTTCATCAGTTTCCATGAGATCTTCCTTTCCAAGTCCAACTTCATCCTCTGAGTCTTCTCTGACATGTGACAACAAAGATTCAGACACACTTGAGGACTGTTGAGTTATGAGCGGCTCGATCTAAAATTAAAGATTATGTTAGCAAGACCTGAAACACTTCTTGGTTATATGAAATAATAAAATAACAATATTTCTCAAAGGTGTAAGGCACAGAAGACATAGTAAGACCTTAGAGTTAGAGGAAACAATTGAATAAAGGAGTTTTACCTTTTTACATGCATAAAAACCCAGACACTATAACCACACGGATCCACATTTAAAAAACCTGAATTTAGCCAAATAAAATATTAAAAGTGGCATCCCTGTAGGGAAGGGGTTAAGGGGCATAGAATATTAAAGGGGGAAGGGGTAATGCCTAAACCAGTGGTGCCTCTCCCACAATACAAGCATTTCAGTCTGCTAACCTTATCAAATTGTTGCAGCAAGTCCAAGCCTTCCTCTAAAAGAGGAGTGGGCACAGTAATCACCGGTGGAAGATTCCATTCTTGAAGTAATTTCTTTTTTTCCTCCACTGATATTGTAATAGGGTAACCATTCACACTTATGTAGTTATCTGGGGAAAAAATATGTAGCTATTCAGGCAGCTTTAGATAAAAAATAATAAATAAAAATACATTTAAACACAGTAAGGCTTCGATTTGAGTGTGTTCCTTTCTTGAAAATTAGGGACTTATCTTCAAACCCTCTTTTACAAAAGAGACTGCACTAGGTGACTCACACTTTACCAGCCAGAGTCTACAGAGTGAAAACTCAGGCCCCTCATAAATGATAGCTGGAACTAAATGAAATCCTCCCACTGAATCCCTAGTTCTTAAAAAAAATAGGTCTTGATGATGTACCCAATCCCTTAAAGAATGAAGGATAAAGAGTCTTGTCCCCACATTCTTATGACCCTCATTTGGCTCAGTTACAAACCAATCATTACATTGGGATGACCTTCATTTACAGCCCACTTCAGTGTTACCCAATGAGAGAAGGGAGGGAACCTGAGTTGGCTGAGTCAGATTAAGTTTTGGCAAAGGGACAACACCAAGGTGGATAGATTTAACAATGACAGTTCTCTGATGTTTCCCTGTACTTTTTATGTCAAAACAATTGTAAAATGAGCTCACAAATATAACTAAGATAATACCATCCAATACAAGTTTAGTATCATTAGCATGACCTGCCCTTTCAGAGATAACACTGAAAAGGCTTTAGCAGTTACTAATTTCAATAACAGTCATTAATATTCTTGACAGTGAGACATCAGACAAAAAACAAGTATTAATTGTTGGCATATACTTACCATTATAGAGCATTTCAATAGCCTTTACTAATGCAGATAACTCGGCATTTTTTTTATTCAAACCATAACCAACAAAAGTGGCAGGTTTGGGCCAATTTACTGTGAAGGAACTCTGAAACACCAGCTGATGGTTAACTCGTCCAACGGCTGATGTTTTTTGATCACATCTATGGAGCAAAAAGGAGTTCATCATTTCACTACTGTTCAAAGCTCTGCAAGAGATATAACCTTTCTAAGGTAAAAAAAAAAATCCAGTATTTCACATATGCTGAAAACAATTAAAGTAGACCTGGGTGTAATTAAAACAGGAAAACCTATTTCATATTTGTTTTAACCAATGTAATATACTTTACCTATACATGGGGTTAAGATTACTTGATAAATTATGGAACATGTTCTTCACAGTTGACTTTACATTGGGGAACAACTGTAGAACTCCAGATTTCTGTTCTGAAAGAAAAATAAATTTCAAACAACTACCTTTATAATAATTTCCTAAAATCATAAACAATACACAGTACATATATGTAAGAATGTACAAGATGGTGTTTAACATTGTGTGTGGGAGAGGTGGTAGTACAGAATGGTAGTGGGAGGAAGTGATAGATACAGTACGTATTCAGAATACTGTATAATAATAATCACGAAAAATCCCATTGGTTCAGCATATATTATATAATGTAGCCTATGTAGGGAATGACAAACAGCAGTGGTAATTAGCAAAACACAATTCAAAAGGTATCAAAATTTATTTGTATTTTTTTAGTTAGAATGAAAGAATGATAACCAGTAGAAAACACATTTCGAAAATTGTGTTTATTCATTATTTTAATATTCTATGCACCATTATCTACTTTCTTCATGTTTGTGTATCAGTAACCAGAGTGTGTTTATTTCAGTAATGTTGTCACTGCTGTAAGTGTATTTGTTAAGGATCAATTACAGTATTAACACTTTGGAAATATGAAAACTCTTTACAATTTATTAGTCCTAATTTTATTTCTTGCAAGTTTATAGAATACGGGTAGTTTTTCCCAAATCAAACAAAATCAACCCAAAAATGGCATGTCCCAATCACTCATAGCTTGAGGCCCTCCACTCTCTCTGGTTGTATTCGAATTTGATTTGTTTTCCCTAATTAAATACTGCAGTAGTACCAACAATTTTGCTAATCATGATCTGAAGAAATACAATGACACTCTCACAAAGAGAAGTTTCATTGTGCTGATTGGATGAGTACTGGTCTAGGCTCCTATGTCCATCAACTATGTTAGGCTAAACAGAGCATGGAAAGTTCAGGTATTGTCAAATTAAAGTCATATCTGCAACATTATATATTGTAGTCTAGTACAGTAAACAGTAACATTTCGTCAACTGCTTTAATGTACAGATTAAAAATAATTATTGTCAGACACCATGCATATTAAAACTAAAGTAAGCATAATGTTGTAAAGTAAATTCTTATAAATAAATCATGGTTGACATACTATTTACATAATGTTCATCTGCCATGACAAGCTGCTGTAGCTGCTTCTGTGACTGGTGCAGACTCCCCTTGGGAGATCCTCCTGCAATATATATAAGATCAAGAGTTAATAGAAAACTAAAAGACCATAAAAATATAATAAAAGTCATTGTTTCTGAGGCAAAACTAGTCTCCCTTCATCCCCTGACCCACCAACAACAGATGAGTTTTATTTTATGGATTCTGAGACAGCCATTAGTGAATTTGTCATCTGGATCAATACATATACGATTATTCAGATCACCATAGGATCATTTCATCTCTACATGACAGTACAGTACTAGGATCATTATTAAAACATTATTAGAAGCCCTATGGGGTCATGAAGATCGCTACACGATCAGTAAAGGATCATTTGACTTATGATAGGATCTGTTTTATCTGTCAACACACAGGAAAGTTGAATGTGGACGCCCAGTTTCTATCCCCGAGTCTGATGTGAGAAAGAGGTTATCCACTGTGACTCTACCCAACATGTAGGTAATCCGGTTTCCTCCTGCACTACCACTGGACTGATGAAGGACAACCTCAGCAGATACAACGGGGGTTTAAACAGGCCACAACCTTAATTCCCCCATTACTAAGGTAAACTCCAATGAACACCAAGCCATTAAATCGAGCAATTCCTCACATTTACCTATACACCAATATCATATGTTAATAAATTGGTTGTAGTTATTTGACCTATCATAGACCTTTACTTGCTTCCACTATCCATCCGGTATTTGTTCTGTTTGATCACAGTTGATGACTCTGATCCTAGATTACTGAAGTTGGTCATTTACAAACCTAACCTAACCTAACCTAACCTAACCTAGCCTAGCCTAACCTAACCTAACCTAACCTAACCTAACCTAACCTAACCTAACCTAACCTAACCTAGCCTAGTACTTACGTTTTGACTTGGCGGGTAAAGGTTGTGTTGTCTTGAGATTCCTGCATTGTGAGGTCCACCAACATCCTTCAGAAGAAATTAATAATCTATGTATATAATGTTTACTTTGGGTGAGACGGGTTAACTTTTCTACCTTAAACATATCCTCAGTGTCTGTGCTCCGTCATATAACGTGTCATGTACTGTACTTGTATTGGGGTAAGGACCGGCGGCTAACGAACCACGAGTCAGATTCGATGGTTCATAAACTCAATGAACTTATGATCAATGATTCAAATGATCTGATAAAGATATAAGACGGGTCTGGTGGTTCAATGAGCCTCCTCTTGTCGCCGACCACAACAACATGTTCCTTCTGCTAGTATGACGAAGAATACGGGTCGAGTTATATATATAATTTTAAGTATTTTACGATATTTATACAGAAATATTATTAATTTATGTAATATATTAACGCACAAGTATAATTTTGAATGTTTTTTTATTCTTATGGATATTCTAGAGTAGTATATTATATAAGAAATTAAGTTAAACCAATAATTTGATCCGGATATATTACCAACTTTCCATGGTTGCGTTTAACATCTTAGTATAACCTCTTGTGTAAATTTTATTATTTTATCAACACATTTTTTTATAGCAGTCAAATTGTATCGCTCATATTGAAATAATTTATTTTTTTTATACGAAAATGTAAACCTAGATCGTGATTTTATTGTCACTAGATGTATTGACTCGAGATTGTTGTGCTTATTATTTGGGTTAAAGGCCTGTTTCCTTGGCGGTGTAACTTAAATATAATCCCGGAATTTTGCCTTGATCTTTGGAAGGCCGAGTTAATCATTATATGCATAAATATAGTTGTCCAATTCACAGCACGTCATCATACTAATAATTTTATCCTCTTCGCCACTAATCGATTCGTTAGCCACTTCATGCGTTCTTAGGTATTGGAAATGCTTGAAAAGTTTTCTTGAGCTTGTAGTGGATACCTCCCCTACAAACGCTGTTTGTCGCTGAGTCGCCGACCCCACGAATTCCCCAGTGTATGCCTCGTGGTCTAGGTCAACCAGCGCCGCCTAACATGACGGAGGTCAACTATTAAGCCACGCCTACCTCCGCTATTTAAGACCTGACCTCGTGGTGACCTCTCTCTTTTCTGGTTCCATGACAAAACCCCAACGGACAAAACCCCCAACGGGGTTGTCATTTATCAACACTAATCTAACCTAACCTAACCTAAACATAAAAGTGTTTTATTTTATATTTTATATATGAGACGGGGGTTTTGTCCGTTGGGGTTTTATCCGGTCACCCTCTTTTCTACCTACACCAACCAGCAAGCAACACCTCCTCCTCCTCCGCCTGCCTGGCGGTCCTCGCTCCCGCCGGCGAGCATGGCGACCCACAAGCTGTCCTCCTCTGAGCACCCTCACCAGCCAGCTCTCTCTACATCACACTTGTAACCACGCTGCCACTTCCCAGCACCAAGCTGCATTGTACATCCAATACAACATGTATACAGAGAGCACATTGTGAGTTTCCTTTCTCCATCCCATCCTGAGTGTGAACAAAACCACCCGAACCCCACAAGCTTTACCATTTCGAGCAATATGTCTTGTTGAACTTTGTCAGCCTACTCAAAACAGTTTCATTCACAGTCTCAGGAATCAGCATTAAGGTTCGGCAAATGTTATATGTGGCGGGGGAAAGATGTGACGAGGTAACACTGTCATCTACGTGTTTCATTAGTTGCCAAAGAAACAAGGTTGGAAGTCTACACTTGATAGGTAAGCATAAATATACGTTAAGTCTTTATGTCAGCGATCTTACGCCTGTTAACGAAATCAAACAAATTTGTGCATTTTCTCTCTCTTTTTTTTTTTACCTCTGTGGTAGTAAATCTCTCCCCCGGGATCTTAAGCAAATTTAAACTTCTAAAAGCCGAGACAGAGACAGACAGACAGATAGATATACTGGCTGGTTTTATGTCATGGGTTATTTATGTTAGTCATATACTGTATAATATATTGGACTATGAAATATTATAACAAACATTTCGTCTTAAGTTCATATTTAATTAACCATTGATACTAAATCAATATTCTTGTAATGTTATGTTGGTTTGAAGGCTTATAAATGTGTGTAATAATAATAATAATAATTAACGGTTTATTGAAAGAGCTTGGCAGCCAGAAGGCTGAAAATATACAGTTACATAATTGGGGAATGGGTTTCGAATTACAAATAATATACAAATAACATAAGTGATACAAATAAGATATGTAATAACTAGATGGGGAAAAGCTCAAACTACAGGGCATTTCAACATAGTGACAGTGCAAGAAGTAGTATTTACTGGGAGTGAATACACTGGTTTATTACAAGTTATTGATAATTTTTACAATGGTTGGGACTGGGCTGTTCTTATAGCGATCAGTTCGTGCACGTATGGGCTGGATGCGGTTGTGGTGTCGAACAGCAATTCTCGGGCTAGGGATCTCAGGTGGCAGTAGGAGCCGGTGTCGAGGATGGTGCAGAAGCTTCTTACCAAATTTGCAGATGAGGTCGTGGTGATGGTCAGTGTGTTGAGCGCTTCTTGATATGTGGAGTAGGAAGGGGAGAGAATAATCTTGCATGCCCTCTTTTGCACTTTTTCTAGGTGTTTACGTTGTGTGGCATTTAGGGAGGAAGACCAGGTAGGGGAGGCATAGGTGAGCTTGGGAAGTATGAATGTTGAGTGAACACTGAGGAGCTCGGGTGCAGGAACTCCGAGGGACTTGAGTCGGCGGAGGAGGTGGAGACGGAAACTGGAGGATTTGACAACTTCACTGACGTGTGGTTTCCAATTTAGTTTGTTGTCTATGGTGACGCCGAGGAGCTCGTGGAATCTACAACCTGGAGTGTGCTCGGACCTAAATTAATGGAAGGGGGTGGGACAATGTCGGAGGAGAGGTTGATGTGCATAACCATGGTTTTGGTATGGTTGATGGTGACGTGGTTGTTGGTGGCCCAGTTTTGGAGACTGTTCAATAAATCCTGAAGGGCGGTATAGTCGGGAGCAGAATTGTTGACGCTGATCCCAATGTTGGAGTCGTCGACATATTTCCAACGAGCGGGGATTTCTCTTAGGGCATCATTGATAAGCATAAGGAAGCAGAGTGGTCCCATCTTGGTGCCTTGGGGGACGCCACAGGTGAGTGACTGAAAGATGGAGACAGCCCCTCGGAAGCGTACAGCTTGGCGTCGGTCACTGAGGAAGTCTGTGTGTGTGTGTGTGTTTGTGCGCGCGTGTGTGTGTGTGTGTGTAGTACCTCTACTATCCCTCCAGTTTAACGGTACTACCCTCTCTAATGTTACCCACTTTCGGTATCTCGGGTCCCACCTGTCCACCAACGCATCGACGAAGGAATTTAACATAGGATCAGATGTGCTTCTCAAGCCTTCGGTAGATTCCGTACCCGCATCTTCAGCTGTAGGGAGCTGAAATTATCTACAAAGTTACATGTATATCAAGCAGTGGTCCTCCCCACCCTGCTATATGGCAGCGAGACATGGTTCACATACAGGAGGCACCTCAAGGCACTTGAAATCTTTCACCAACGTAGTCTGCATTCTATCCTCCGAGTTCGCTGGGAAGACAAGAGAACAAATGCCAGTATTCTCGCTGACACCAACTGTAGGAGCATCGAGGCTACCATTATCTATGAACAACTACGCTGGACTGGCCACGTTACCTGCAGGGACGACAGTCGACTGCCAAGCAACTACTTACAGTCACCTAACGAATAGTAAACGTAACGCCGGCACGCAACTGAAAAGGCATAAGGATAGTATGAACAGACAAACCTGAAAAAGTGCCAAATCGACCCCCTCACCTGGGAGACTATCACTCCACACCGTAACGCTGGGAGGTGCACTACACAAAAAAGTTTCAATATTTTCGAGATAGCTCGACTGCGTCTGCATACCGCCCGAGGCAGACAAGCGTCAACGCTGGCAAGTCGCTGCTGCCAACCCTCCCGCATTAGATGTAGCCCTTCACTTGTGCAACATCTGTGAACAACCTTGCTGGTCCCGTATCGGCCTTTTTAGTCACCTCAGAACTCACCAACGTAGGTGACATCCTAATAACTTATATCACTGAATCATAACTGGATCGTCATACTCGATTCCGAATTACAGCAAAGTATTAGGAGTAGTGTGTGTAGTATTAGAGTGAAGGCTGTTAAAAAACAGAAGGTTAGTGAACTCGCAACAATCCGCAGGTGTTAAATAAGAAACAGGTGTCACTGTGCAATACTACAGCTTAATTTGCGAGCAACGGCGGGGAGAGGCGTGAGGGAGGAGTCAAGGTTCGAGCAGAGCACTCATTCTTGGAGTGGAAGTTGACGAAGTAGCACTGGCTACCACGAGTGATCACGGCTGGAAAGTGACGATAATTTATACCACCTCTACACTCATAAACTTTTTACAACACGAAGGAAAAAATATTTAGTTATATTGTAGACAGACATCCTGCACTCTCATCAGTCTTAACGTAAGTAGTATTGTGTAATGCCGAAGATTAATATTATCTAAGATTCGTAATATGAATTTCCCCTCCTATGCAGAGATAAAACGACTGCATATAAATTAGTGTTGAATCTCAGTCTTTTGTAACACTTTTTTTTTTTGTTCTCGCCACTTTCTTTGTTATAGGTGAAAAATCTCCTAGAAAAGTCATCCAAATACACTAGTAGTTTTGGAGCTACTGGAGACGTTAATCCATCCCTTTGTATCGGCGGCAAGTTAATCCTTGTCGTGTCTGACCTAACACCTGACCCACATCATCACGGCCACGTCATGAGCTACACCCTTGCTATGCGCCCCCCCCCGCCACACACACAACCTGTAACCTGTTGAGGATTAAGGAAACAACTTCAAACAAGTACGCCAGTGAGCTCATGTGGTGTGGGTCAGGTGTTAGGTCAGACACGACGAGGATTAACTTGCCGCCGATACAAAGGGAAGGATTAACGTCTCCAGTAGCTGCAAAACCATGCAGTCTCGGGTCATATCAGTTCATGTACAGCCGACCAATCCACCAGTTACAAGCAATTCACTTCAGTTCTGCACAAGTCTCCATCGTGACAAGACGAGGGGAGGCTAGACGACTTTTAAGTTCTCTTGTGTTTTCGATCCAGTTATTTACTTCGTTGGAAGACATAATACTATAAGGTAAGAAATATTAAAGTATTGGTTAAAAAATATTGATGTGACTTTTGCTGCGGTACTGAGATTAAATATTAAGATTTTGTTTCACAGCATTGCGATTTTATACTAAGACACTATCCTCACTGGGGTACAGACAAAAGCCCCCCCGACAAAAGCCACCCAGACAAAAGCCCCCCAGACGAAAGCCACCCAGACAAAAGCCCCCTACTTTGATCGGGGTGGCTTTTGTCTGACAACAGTAAGGCAAACTATATATATATATATATATATATATATATATATATATATATATATATATATATATATATATATATATATATATATATAAAAGAGTGAGTCACTGTGCAATATGTATTTTTTGTAGGGTCACGGGGGGGGCGGCGGCAAACTCAAGGGCCGCCCCGGGCGGCACACACTCTAGCTACGCCACTGTCCAAATATTTAACGGACAAATATGTTAACATGTAATATTTATGTATATATGTAATTTATAAATTTTTAAATAAAAGATGAAAAAAAAAGATTCTCAACGGTTCTTACGATAATATTTTCCCTAAATACTGTAGAGATGTGAGGTAGAATAGTAAATATGTACCTGGTTTTATTTTTAAAATATCTCCTACCTCCATCATAATAACGAATCTTTATATACTAAAATTAGGTTGTGTTAGTTAAGCTAGTAAAGTGCTCATTATTGTTTAGTTTGTATTGTGGTTAACTACATGATCGACAAGATAATACAAACGGTACTAGAAATACATTGTGTGTGTGTGTGTGTGTACAACTCCGAGTAAGGATGAAAAATGCCACTCACACTTTATAAGTACACGTTACAATTTCAACATAAACACTACAACCCTCTTACAAAAACATTCTACAACTCCGACATAAACACAATCGATAACTCTCCTACACATAAACACACTGTAAAACTCCTACAAAAATACGCTACAATTCTGACGTAAACATCCATTGCAACTCCACCTCCTTGTCCATAAAGCATACTGTACAGTACATGAGAAAGCGTTCACCCTAAGTTTACGGTTAATGAACTTTGAATTAATCCCACATATCACTATAACTGTACTACAATGGTGAACTATAGTCACCGTATTTGCGAAAACCTTAACTACTTTCTCTCCCTTGCCTTATTTAAAATATAATAATGGATAGAAAAGATATTGTCTGATTTTCATGTGTACTGTACATTGGGAGGATGAGAAAATCTGCTGAGTAATTGTTGACGCTTGGAACCGCTAAGGGAAATGGCTTCCTCACAATATCTCTCTTTCTCTCTCTCTCTCTCTCTCGGTTTCTTCCTGTCAACTTCTCTCTCTCTCTCAAAATGTCATTGATTTTACCTTAATTAGATACGTTCACTTAGCATTAAAATACGAAAAAAACAAAGTAATCAATTGGTTATGTAATGTAAATCTCGACCCTTGTCTAGGCGTGTGTTTCGTTATGGTGATAATTATTAAAAACAAAATAGTGGTAATTTACCCATGTATAGCATCTAGATTATTTGAAGACTCGTATTTATTTGGCATTAATGACAAAGAAAATGAAATGTGCTTCAGTCAGTCAGTGTTGTGTAATGATTAACACACGCTTGTGTATTTCTATATTATATGGTGACAATATTTTATAGAATTAATATGCAAGTAAATAGTGGTTTCTTGTGTCTGCTAGTCGGAAGTAGATGATGAAACCGACCTGGAAGAGTTTTGCCGTTTTTTTCCTCGTCACGAACCTTGCCTGCGGAAGCGTTCATCCCCTAGTCACACTCCATACGAGTCCATAGCCATTGCATTGCCCCCAAATAACTGTACCATCATGGTGAAAGTCACTATACATGCGAAAACCAGAACTACCTTTTCTCCCTTGCCTCTTTCAAAATATAATATTGTATGAAAGATAATATATATTTTTTTAACGTGTAATAAAGAAGTGTTTCGTTTGTCATATGTATACGAGGGAGGTTGGGAAAAGATTTACCGCCACGTAAGTCAGCTTAGGGGCGGCAACGCGGTGTGTCATTCCCACCATCCTCTCTCTCTCTCTCTCTCTCTCTCTCTCTCTCTCTCTCTTATAAGACCTAAATGTAAATAAAACAACAATATCAACATAACAGATGTAACCATCAATTTGGAATGGTAAATAAACAATTACTCAGCAATTTTCCGTAACCTGGAGGGAAGCATCAGGACGACGTGGAACCCTTAAAGCAACACCGCCATTTACTATTCATCAATTACTTGTAGTACTGTAGTGGATTTCTCCCCTACAAACGCCGTTTGTCGCTGAGTAGCCGACCCCGCGAATTCCCCAGTGTGTGCCTCGTGGTCTGGGTCAACCAGCGCCGCCATACATCACGGAGGTCAACTACTAAGCCACGCCTACCCCCGCTATTTAAGACCTGACCTCGTGGTGACCTCTCTCTTCTTCTAGCTACAGCCGCAGCAAACAACACCACCTCCTCCGCCGCTGCCTGGCGGCCCTCGCTCCCCTCCGGCGAGCATGGCGACCCACAAGCTGTCTTCCTCTGAGCACCCTCACCAACCAGCTCTCTCTACTCAACGCTTGTAACCATGCTGCCTTCCCAGCACCAAGCTGCATTGTACATCCAATACAACATGTATATAGAGAGCACATTGTGAGTTTCCTTTCTCCATCCCATCCTGAGTGTGAACCCAAACAACCTTAACCCCACAGTACCACAAAGCCCACCACACTCATCTCTGTTGGGTGTCGTAACCGCATCACCTCGCTCATTGTAACTGTACACTGAAATATACTGATTCTCTTGATAGTTAAAATTTAATGTCATAATTTTAAAATAGCCCATAACGCCTCGAAATCACGCGAAACTTATCGTACTTAATTTAATATCCTAATGCCACCTGGGGCTTAGATTACAGGTTTACGGTACTCTGTCCACTCCACAAGTTAGCGAGAAACTTTAGTCAAATTTGTCGATCTTTTCCTCGGAGAGAACAAATTTACAAAACATTAAATGATGACTAGGGAAATATTTACGTCTTTTTATTTCAGCTTAGGACCTTATATTATGGTCTACTCGTGAAGATATAATGTATTACTGTACTACGTTTCAGCAACTAAGCATCTTTAAGTGTGTTTTCAAGACTAATGCATTCGTCATCATCAATAAAAAGAAATACGAGATACTTTACATCAATATGGATGTAAAAATAGCCACGTTACAATGAGCCTCGGATAATTGCATAATAAAACGAAGAATTTGATTTTACGTTTGGGTATTTTGCCGTTCGCCGTTTTCACCAGCAGTGAGGGACCTGTGGCTACTGTAGCTCAGTATTTAAACTGCCATGTCTTGTGTTGGTGGTCCAGGAACAGATGCACGTCTAATAAATTTAAATATTATAGTAAACGCGTAAGTGTGACCATTACGCAGGAACCCCCTTTTTTCTTTGTTTTTTTTACAGATATATGGGTGAATGAGTAATCTTTGTTTACCTCTAACATTATCTACATTAACATTGTCTTACTGTACTCATTTAATCAGTTATTCAAATGACATTACAGCTTCTTCGGGTGTTTCGGCAAATAAAGTTATAATGTGGTTTTTTCCCGGAGGTTGTATACAGTGTATTCGGTTGGTATATTTTATAAAGTACAAGGACATTGAACAGTAAGTAACCTGAGCAATATCTTATAATGTTCATGTCTAACTAATCTATTAACATTCTTTTCATCAGTTTTCAAATCGGTGGACGAGGGGCACAATTATGATGTGGTATATCTCGACTTTAGCAAAGCCTTCGACAGAGTCCCCCACGAAAGTCTAATTAGAAAGGTAGAAGCACATGGCATCAAAGGTAATATCCTTAAATGGATTAGTGCGTGGTTACAGGACAGGAAACAGCGAGTGAGCATTAATGGCACTAAGTCCCATTGGAGCAACGTCACAAGTGGAGTTCCCCAAGGCTCAGTACTTGGACCATTATTATTTATTATATACATAAACGACATAGATATCGGCATAGACAGCAACATAAGCAAATTTGCTGATGACACTAAAATAGGATGTGTTATTAAATCTGACGAGGACTCCACAAAACTACAGGAAGATCTAAAAAAATTTTTCGAATGGTCTGAAAAATGACAGATGAAATTCAACGTGGACAAATGTAAAGTACTCAGTATAGGAGATGTAAACAGGGAAACCAGATACCAGATGAACAACGATGCCATAGAGAAATCCGACTGCGAGAGAGATTTAGGAGTAATGATAAGTAGGAACCTTAAGCCAAGTAAACAATGTGTTTTTGCTCGTAACAAGGCTAATAAAGTACTTGGGTTCATACAAAGGAGTGTTAGTTACAAGACTAGCGAGGTCATCCTAAAACTGTATCTTGCTCTTGTGAGACCACACCTGGATTACGCAGTTCAGTTCTGGTCACCGTATTACAGAATGGATATAGAATCCTTGGAAAGAATTCAGAGGAGAATGACAAGACTAATCCCGGGCATTAGGAACCTTGAGTATAGAGACAGGTTAAAGCATCTTAATTTGCACTCCTCGAGAGACGTAGAGTGAGGGGCGACCTGATAGAGGTGTATAAGTGGAAGGCAGGGCTAAACAAAGGGGACATTACAAAGGTACTCAAATTATCCAACCAGAGCGAACTCGTAACAATGGTTTTAAATTAGACAAATTTAGATTTAGGCGTGAAATAGGTAAACACTGGTTTGGAAACAGAGTAGTGGATGAATGGAACAAGTTACCAAATATCATCATTAACTCGAATACGCTGAATAGCTTCAAACATAGGTTGGATGCTTATATGAGCAATAGGGGTTGGGTGTAAACGGGACTGCCCAATATGGGTCAATAGGCCCGCTGCAGTTTCCTCCATTCTTATGTTCTTATGTTCTTAATGTTTGGTTGAGTAATTTGTTTATATACCTGCACTCACTGTTCATTCTTTCATTATCTGCACTGTTTATGTATACGCACTGTACATGTTGGATCAGTATGGCCTAGCATGACAATTTTACTGAATGAAAATTTATCTCATTTATCTATCTATCATTTAATACACAGTATATACCTATCATTCATTTGTTTATCTATATATTACTTTTTTTATTTATCTATCTACTTTTATAAGGTTGAGAATATGTCATGCTACTATATCAAGATGCCAGATGATCAGAGTTGATAGGACGCCAAGAGCCACCATAGGAAGAGGTCGTTGAACTCTTGAATGACTTGTGTTATGATGGGCTTTGTTGTCCAGTCTAACGGTTTGTTCCGATGAAACACTTCTCAGTTTACCGGCAAAGTCCTTATATATCTTTTATCTGCATTGTGTATGTATTGAATTACATACGTGCATTGTTTATATACATGCTGAATGGTATACCTACATTGTCTATATACATGTTGACGTTGTATACTAGCAGTGCCTATATACATTTCAATTTCAATAGTTTATTCCTTGATAGAGGAAGCGATATACTAGTGCTGTCACTAGGTACCCCTGTACAATAACACCAGAAGCATCTGGCAAGTGTCACAAGTACAGTATATACAGTATAAATATTATAAAGGGGCTTACTAAAGCCTAAGGAAGGAAGGATATTCCTTTAACACATTATCAATATTATTTATATAGTATCTGGCCAGTATGGGGAGGATCATCGTGTCTCCGTCAGGGGGTCGTGGAGTGGTGGCTCAGCAGGCGTCACGGAAGCGTTGTGTGTGGGGACATATTAGGAGGTAGTGGATAAGGGTGCGGCTGTCGGGTCTTCTGCATAATGCACAAGAGCGTTGCTCAGGGGATGCGGGGATACCAATCTCCCAAGCAAAGTCATACCCAATGATGATACGGGCAGCAATCACGTCCCTTTTCCGCGACCCTTTCCCATAGACATACGAGAGGTCAGGAAGTTTACTGAGGACATCGTACCAGGTGGGCGGGGAGTCCAGGGGGATGGCTGCTTCCCGAGCTTCTCTCTGTTTGCGGCGAATTTGGGTCCTAAGCTGTAAAAGTGTTCGAGGAACAACGTAGTCAGGTGTGGCCTTGTTGCAGCCAGTCTTGGCAAGGCCATCTGTTGCCTCATTCCCCAAGATACCGACATGACTGGGTATCCATAAGAATGTCACAGGACGGCCTGCATCCTGAAGTGTGGATGTTAACCCTCCTATATACATGCTGAATTGTATACTTGCATTGTTGTACACATGCTGAATCAATGGCAATTTAAATGACGACTTTACTGAATGAATATTTGGCTGCATCTGTCTGAGTTGATTGGTTCACTTCTGAGAACTCTGGTTTATTGAATTATTCATGAGTGTTTTTGTTTTTTCACAGCAGGAAACCTAGCGGGCACTAATTGGCTGACGACGTGAGTAACGGAGAGTCTGATTGTGCTGGTGAAAGTACAGGAAGCTGTGATTGGCTATTAAAAGGCTAGATTGACGGATAAAGGAGGACATGATTGCAGTCAAACAGACAGTTCAGATGCTGACGATGATAATGACACTGACAGTGATAGTCACCCTGTTGTATGAGTAAGTATACCTCCACTTCTTCCTCTAACTCCTCCTGTCTACCTCTATCTCTACCCTTCTACTTCTAGATCCCCTACACCACTCCCTCACCACCCTTATCTCTACCTCACATTGTTTACTGTGTGTTATGATACTGTTACAGTGACGTCACAAGTCAATGCTGATTCGTCTCCTAACTGACCAATCACCAACAAATTGTGACGTCATATGATCAACTCCACATTTTTAAATTAAAATATAGTAGTGGTGGTGACAGTGGTAATAATAATAATATTAAATGTTGACATACTGTACTTTATACGTTACTTTTAAAATGGGTGTTCACTTTATGTTATTACTACGCTTCAAAAACAAGCTTAGTCCATCGGGAATGAAAACTATGAAAGATAGAGAGAGAGAACAAGGGTGAAATTTGAGGTTTTAATTTTTGTGTCTACAATTTCACGTCTATCTGTTACAGGATAACAAACATCTCACCCGAGGCCCAACACATTCGACTTAAACGTGGTAAGTGTTAGTAACTGTAGGATTGCTAAGTTCGGTTAGTTTTCATTAAGTTAGATCAGTTTGTCTAGTTTTGGTTAAATTGGGTCAGAGATTGGTTAGTTTTTGGTTACATTAGGTCAGGGTTGGATTAAGTTTGGATAAGTTAGATCAGGGTTTTCTTTCGTTCAAGCTACATATTGCCTACTGGGATTAGATTATAAATAAACATCGATTCCGTAACACTTTCAAATACTCGTAAACATATACAACTACACACACTCATACACATTCATACCAGATACACTGCCTCCATTTCCCACAATAAACATACACACGGTAACTCTTTTTCCCCCCACTGTTATGTTTAAATGACTTGCTGACTGTTTTCTCCCTTCCAGGCAATTTAACCCGGAAACCGTGTCATATAGAAGCTCTTGGCAGCGACCAGCAGTTTTACAAGTACTTTCGGAAACTCGAGTACAAGTGTGAGAACCTAGTGAGTCCGTGTTAATATGTTATGTTCCATCTGTCTGTCTGACTGTCTCATTGCCTGTCTGTTTCCACTGCCCGTCTATGCCTCGTTGTTTCTATTTACAAGTCCTTCTATCTCAGTGTGTATCTGTTTACCTGTCTGTCTTACTGTCTCTTTACCCTGTCTGTTTACCTGTCTTATTTTGTTCTGATCGACTCATTTATCTTTCACAGATGGAGTTCGGTGCACGGCCAAACAAAAAATGGTTGAGCAAGTTCGTCTGTCTTGATCAACCATTCGGAATTCGACGAGATAATTGTACCGTTATATCCTTCGGCATTAACTACGAGTGGGAGTTTGAGGATGATATGGATAACTACGGCTGTGTGGTGAGTGAGTGAGTGAATGAGTTAGAGTGGGAGTGAGTGATTGAGTAAGAGGGAGGGAGAGTAAGGGAATGAGAGAGGGTGTGTGTGAGTGAGGGAGAGATAGATTATCCACCTATACAGCATCACCAACAAAATACCTTTCTATATTTACTCTAACTAAACTTTCTAATAACAAACTTTCTAATAATAAACTATTAAAAAAACTCGCTTGTATATTATAGGTTCACGCGTTTGATCCCACAATGCGACAGCTTGACCACAAGAGATCGGAGAGGACAACCTTCCACAGGTTAGGTATAAGTAACATCAAGGGCAAGAGGAACGTCGGAATGGGCAATGATTTTAGCTATCTTGAGGTAAACAATTCTCCATGGATTCTACCGACTTACTTTCAGATGAGAATTTGACTGCGGACTTAAATGATTCAGATGCAAGGATTTTGACAACTTTGGGGTAGGATGTGGGAAGAAGTTTTGTTTGGTTAATATACTTTGAGGTGTTTTATAAGTATTTTGACTAATTTAGAGTGAGAAAAGTAATTGCGATTGTTTTTTTTTTACTTTGTAGTGAAACACAAGCAAGTATTTCAACTACTTTTGAAACAGAAAAGAAATATTTTAACTTATTTTAGGAGACACGAATAAGAATGATGAAACTACTTTGGGTATGAGACAAGACATTAATATTTTGACTTATTTCCCTCCTCTCTAACCTAACCTAACCTAACCTTTCTCGTATTAGGTGGATCGTTATGAGAACATCCTACGTAGTCTGGATCTGTTGAACACCAGGATAGACTACCTAAAGCTAGACGTGGAGTTGAGTGAGCTGGAATTCCTACAAGACGTTCTGAGAAACTCGCCTCGCCTTTTGCAAAACATTGGCCAGATAGGAATGGAGGTCCACCATGGCTATAAAGGTAAGTGGAGGGGTGGAGGAATGGTTGGGTCGAAGGGTGAGTGGGTGGAGGAATGGGTGAGTGGGATGATGAGTGGGTGGAGGGGTGAGTGACGGGGTGAATGAGTGGAAGGATGGGGGAGTGAGTGAGTGGAGAAATGAAGGAGTAGGTGGAGGGATGAAGGAGTGGGTGTATGGGTGGGTGGAGGGACGAAGGAGTAGGTGTATGGGCGGTTGGAGAGATAAATAAATGGACGTTGGGATGGATAAGTGGATAGAAAAATGTAGCAAAGTTGATCTAATATCAACCTGTCGTTTATTCCTCCCTGACAGGTGAAGGCCTGGACGAAAAACCACCCAGAGTCGGATCTCTCAGCCCAACCAGCACCTTCCCGCTCTTCTGGTCGTACTTCCAGGAGTTGAGGTGTCACGGGTTCAAGTTGATCCACGCCAGACCCAACGTTCCCTGGCACGAAGTCGTCTGGGCCAGGAATGACGAGTGGTAGCTGCTGGCCCCTACATAAGCGGTGCTAAGTGCTGTTTTTATTCGTACTTGGTTAATTTAATTATTTAACATACATTGGAGTGCTTGGTGCTGGTCTTTTTTTTTTATTTGGTTGTTTAGTTAACAAACACTTGAGTGCTAGTCTGGTTTTCTTTCGTGAAGGGAATGTTAAATCTAGCAGCAGAGAATCAGTCAACGAAGCGACGGAAACTGAAACGTTAGTGTGACAACTACGGGTGTGTGACATCATGTATTCCAAATAGGTTGAGGTAGTCTTGAAATATGTTTTATTGAATATTTAAAAGAGTACATTGAAGTAGGGCGGTAAATGATGTCAGCTTAATTATTTATTTATTGATAGATAGATAGATAGATTGATAGGGGATAGTAGGCAGCTATTGATGATGAATTGAAACACATTCGTCCCATTGTACAAAAACTTGGGTACCCTTCATTGTTTGTTGATCATTGTTTTAACAGGGCTAAAAATACTTTCATTTTATCAAACCAGGTAAATTCCTACACTTAAGAATATTTTTATTCTTCCTTATCGCAATGAACTTGTCCCGTTAGTTCAGTCCCTTAAATTATTAAATATTAATGTTGTTTTTAAGTATGGCTCAACCATTACCAATATATTAATTAAGAATAGCCCAACTTTGAATGTAAATGGGAGTGTTTATTGTATTCCATGTAGCAAATGTAATGGAAATTATGTAGGACAGACTGGGAAAGCATTGCAACTCAGATATAAGAAACAATAATCATCCCATTGATTGGGAAAACAGCTTAGAAGTGTACAAATCATCATGTGTCAGAGAAAGACTTCTGGTTGAAGTTAGTTTGATTAGGGAATTGAATTCCATAAACCTTAGTGATGGTCAGTACAAAACTGATAATATGTTACATAAATGTATTTGTCAGTGGCCCTAGGTTAAAAATGCTTTGAAAACCTTGGAGTTAGATGTACTGTATAATAGATATTTAATGGGTCCCATATTTTTGACCTGACTTAACTTGACTAGTCACGTCGCCCTTTCTCTTAAGCTTCTCCGCGTGTGTGTTGGTGTGTGGATTAGTGGATGTCATGATTATGACCTGACCTCATGTTTAATAAGGTCACCCTGTGTATTTAAGCCTCTCTCCGTCCATGTAATTTATAGACAGTACAGGTATACAATATAATGTACGTACATGGACAATGATGCAGTGATGAGAGGCCGGGGGGCGGGGCAATCATTGTAGGCGCGCAGGGAGTATTCGACCACACACTAGTATATGTTGATGGAATTACAGAAGTGGAAATAATAGAATATTAATGTGCTTAAAGGAAAGACTGCATTGATGTATCTGTAACTCGATGTTGTTTTGTGTTAAGAATTTTATGTATATGAGAGAAGTACTTAAAAGTGGATTCTTTATTTGTCACGTCATAATGTTTGGATGAAAAATGTGTAATCTTATTTACTTATCTCTTATTTTTAAGGGTGGATTATGAATATGCAGTAAAAGTTAAAGAATTGTGTTTTATTCCGTTTTAGTACACCTATGCTGAACCACAGACAATATTGATGTGAATCATTGGTAATATTTTAAAATTTCAGGCAAATGATAAATTAGAACTATTCAATTATTAGTTCAATATTGAAATCAAGAACATGTAAGATGTATTATAATGTTATCTAAATAATACACAATTCCATGTTCTATAAAGCTACCTGAGATATTATTGTTGCTGGTATGTTAAGTTATTTGGTCCTAACTGTGTGTGTGTGTGTGTGTCACTTCCAGGGATACATCTTGAAATAAAGTAATATATAAATTGTGGTTTATCTCATTTTTTTTCCATTTCATACACATCAATAAGCTGACTTCACCATATACAGCACACATGTAATACACACCCCAGCACATATACACATACATATATGCTACATACACACCATAATGACTGCTACAAACAACCTTTTAAAGGATTGCCAACATGGTTTTATGCCGGGGCGCTCCTACTTAACACAATTGCTCAAGGTATTGGATATTTGGACCCATATTCTGGAACGGGGTGGTAATATCGACAGTATATGCCTAGATTTTGCCAAGGCTTTCGACAGTGTACCCCACGAAAGGCTAAAAATCAAACTGGAAGGGTACGGAATTCGGGGAAATGTCCTAGCGTGGATAGAAGACTTTCTACATGACCGCAAGCAGTGTGTGGTGATTAATAGCACGAAGTCATCATCTGTACCTGTCACAAGCGGGGTACCACAGGGCAGTGTATTGGGACCGCTGTTGTTTGTTTGTTAAATAAACGACGTTGTACACTCCTCCATACAAATGTTTGCCGATGACGCCACGTTATTTCGGGAAATCAAGAGCGAAGCGGACTCTGAAGAGCTGCAGAAGGATCTCTGTGAGCTCCAAGAATGGTCGAAGAATTGGCTGTTGAGATTCAATGTCACGGAGTGTAAGAGGATGCACCTGAGGCGAATCAACGGCAAGGAGGCGTATCATATGTCCCAACGGGATGAAGAAACTGCAGAGTGAGAGTTGTGAACTTTTGGAACAATCTGCCAGAAAGTGTTTTGACGGCACCGAGTGAAAGCTCTTTCAAGACCAAACTTGACCAACACTGGAGCAGGTTTAGGTACATTCAAGAGCTGGTGCATGCCCAGTACTTGCCAACAGTGCGTAACAGAAACGTGACAGGTCGCCCAAGCGGCTAACGAGCCCGTCAGTAGTGAAGAGGATAAAAGTAACGTAAATTAAAAAAAAATCCAAATATTTAGTTTTTTATTAAAAAAAATAGACCGACTATTGGCAAAAAGGGTTAAGTAATGTATAATAAAGTATGGAAAAGTATAGTAAAGCCAACTAAATTTTAATAAAGTTGGGAGACGTAGAGTAAAGGTAAAGTACAGTAAAAGTTGCTAAAATTTTTCATGATATGAATCCGGATTTCTTCCCAAACACTGACAGTCATACACAGTGTAACAGATTAGTTGCACACGGCTGCTGGCCTGTAAACTCCTCAATTATTTAACAGGTATGACAGATAGTTTAAACTTTATGGTTGATATGTTCCTACAAAAGAGATGTGAGTGATGACATCTTACTTTTGAGCCGCCACCTTAATTATTAGAGTAGAGCCTCGAATTTGTGGCTTAATGCCGAATTGTACACCACAGGAGAGGGTTGCACTAGATACATACATACCGGGTACATACAGTACATACATAGTCATTAAAATTGTCATATAAGTTCATATGGTTCAGTAAATGGTAAATAAAACGGATCTCGACCCACTAACGAGACAATTTTTAGTTTTTCTTTTAATCTGTATCCACCTGGTAATAGCTGTTTCATGTGTAAATACTTCGTTTTTTTCTTCAGATATGGCCCCTTTCACCTTTAATATGAATACCCCATAAATTCGTCCATTGGCTGTTGGTACGAGAACTTTGTTTTATTTTATTTATTTTTTTGTTTTACCTTTTCGGTGTTTTAGTCAAATCTGACATTCATTTCTTGTGCAAATTAGCGGTTTTTGCAAAAAAAAATCTTAATTTTTAACAGAAACCGCTAACTTACATAAAAACGGAGGTCAAATTTGAGTAAAACACACAAAAAGAAAACCTATTCTCATACCAAAGGAACCAACCAACCTACCTAACCAAACCAAACCTAACCTAACCTAACCTACAAGGAGGAGGAGGAAAGGAGACAGCTGACTAAGTGAGGAGTATAGCCTGAAGTAAACATGGCGGGAACCTGCGGATAGCCACTGGACGAATATTAACCTTTTTTGTTATGTAAGAGAACACGTCTACCACCAGAAAATTTTTTACGGATTTGTTTAATTTTTTAACAATATGTTCTTTTCATTATAGTAAGTATTTTAAAAGAGGTGACGTTTACTAGAACCTATTAGAACCTGGCTTAATGAACCAAAGAAACCTACCTAACCTAGTTGGGGGACTACGCCCCCCAGACGCCCCTGCCATATAAAACAGAAAGTACTTATTTTGATATCTGGTACCAATGAAAGCAACTTTGTTGAAATTTCATGGCGTAATTTTGTTTTTGTGGATGTGAGAGTACGCACGGACCTAGCGGGTCAGTCATAAAGCTGACTGAGCAGATTTTTCACTGGAGTATTTTAAGTAAATAATTAATTTCTTCACGTACAGAATATGTAGAGACAAAGTTTTCTTGTCATGTGATCAGTTTTTCATCGTGTTTTATCCCGTAATTTGCCTCATCCTTCATACCCTGCTTATTACAGATGATGTATGATAATAGAGAAAACCTAGAAAAAAAATAAATAAAATAAAAAGTTGTAGTGTTTTTATTACAATTTATTATCATCCAAAGAACATCTGTGTAAAAAATGAACAAAACCGAACAACTTCTGGTGTTAGTTGTCTGCTTCACTATTACCAAAACATTTTCCTGCACTGTATGTCGAAAAACTGTATTATTTGCAGGAATTGCTGTATGTATTTGTGTGTGGTAATAGTTAAGAATGAGTTATCCAGCCACCTGACGAAAAGTATTTATAAAAGAAAATTTACTACTATCGAGAAAAAAGCAAATCAGGTGGAGGAATAGCACTTTTTATATTCATGTTTTTCCCTATTTCTTGTTATAAATAAAGACTGGGTAAAATTAATGTATGAACACTGCAATTCCTCCAACTAATTTACTGTTTTCTTGATATAATGAAGAGAATTGTTTTCAGCACTTACCTGGTACCTAATTGAAAATAGGTAGATGGCTTACCGGTACCTCTTACTCTTATGATAAGTACAGCTCCTCACCAACTTACGACGGGGTTAGGGACCCAAGTCCAGGTCGTAAGTCGAAAATGCTTAAATAATACATAGAAAATCTAAAATGGGTCTCTCTTTTTCTTCTCAGCACCACAAAACTCTCACTTTTAAGCTTGGTAGCCATTTTAAAGTGAATTACAAACGAAAATATTGTCAGTACACAGCGCAATCACTGACGTTGGGACTCGAAAATATGTAATGTGACAAATTTTGGTACGACTGAGGCGGTCGTATGTCCGGGTGGTCATAAGTCGGGGAGGAGCTGTATTACTGACCCTTTGATAGAAGTGACTCGTTACTTTGAGAATTGTGTACAAAACAGGAGTGCTTTACTGTACCTGCACACCTAAATTAGGTATTTTAAAGACTTTTGAGTTTTAGAAAAGTTGTTCTTTCCCTTGAGAATATACTGTGGCTTATATATATTAGAGGAATTGTAATTAATGGCACTGTACATATTTTCTAGTGATTTTCTTCCTGAGAAATACAACATCCAACTATTGTACAGTACTGTTCCATCATACATAAACTGTACTGTAGTTGTTGATGTATGGTGGGTAGTTTTAAGTTACCATGATATATCTTAATGGTTAAAGAACTTAATTAAGAATATACAGTATTCAGTGTTAGTTCTAATATATATATTTTTTTAATTCTGTATTAATCTTTTGATATAAAATAACAAAAACTATGATGTCAAGCCATTTATAAGAAATTTCATGAATCGGCTCAACCTGACCTAACATAACATAAATATCTTAGGATACTTTTTAGTTACCTTCATTTAGGTAGGTTTGACTAGTCTACATGATGAAGCAGTAAGGATTTTATGATGTTTATTATTTATATACCTGTACTGTAATTTTTAAGAGTATCCCAGGAAGTACTGTGCAATACAGTATATACAGTACACTTTTTGTATGTACCAGAATAATTTTTTACAAATGTGGATTATCCCTTACATCACTTGTGAATTAGTGTGGAATTTTGATACAGTATGACACTCGTACTGTATGTAATCATACAGTGCGGAGTATAAGTTGCTTTACTGCATAGGCGTACTGAGAGGTGGGGCGATCACCCCTCTGAACTAATGCATTATTCCAAATAAACTATTTTTACAATAAAAAAAAATAATAATAACAAAATAAATACAAATAATAGCATCACTAATTGAATAGTAAGTGCATCTTGAACCTACAGAAATTTTTTTATTATCTAGAGTTTAAATAATACCGCGATATGTTTTGTTTAAAGTTTGTCCCCCCCCACCCTGGGAAATTTCTGGGTACACTGAGAATGAGCGCTCAAGGTGAGAGTTCTTGGTTCAGCGACTTGTGCACAACCCCACCATGTGTACTTAAGGGGGATATCACTATTTTTGTATGACGTTTGTGATGTTTTTATGTGTTCTTTGTACTTTTCGAATCCTCATACACATAACGGTAGACAAATGGTTCAGATATTTTTCATTTTGTTTATTGTTTAGTTAGAGTTCAGTATTGTAAAAAAATGGCAGTCAACAAGATTAATAACAGAAATACAGGTATGTCACTTGAGAAAAAATAATTTTAAACTTAAATACAATATCCATGTATAACTATATGTTCCTGTTACAGATTCACATCTAGCTGGTACAAGATGGCTTCCCTAGAGAAATGGGCTTGTGAGGAGCTGGAGAAGTTGGGTATACCTGATCCTGGGGATATTGTGCGTTACCTGCAACCCATCGAGAACCCTTCAGAAGTTGAAGATTATTTGGTATCTATGCTGGACTTGAACAAAACATCTCACCAGAAGTTTATTGAGATGTTCTTGAAGAAACAAGAAGAGGCAAAGTCAAATGTTGATACTAGGTTTTATAGGAAACCAGATTTGGAAGACACTATGGGATTCAAAATAAATGAAAACAAGAAAAAACAAAAAAGCCCAAAAGAGATTGTTACTTCCAATGGCAAAAGTCAGAAAGAGTTGTCTTCTAGTTCTAATGCTCCTAACTCTGCAACAGCTTCACTAAAGAAGAAGACCAAGTTTGTTAGCTTATACTCTGATGAAGGCCTGACTAGGGATGTCGTTCTCTTAAGTGGGAGACATAAGTGTGACTGTCAAGCGAGTAAACACAAACTGATTAGCAATTGTCTAAAGTGTGGTCGAATTGTATGTGAGCAGGAGGGTTCAGGACCATGTCAGTTTTGTGGCAACATGGTAATCACAAAAGAAGAAAAGGAGTTGCTGAACCGAGGCTCACGTAAATCAGAAGCACTTCAAAAGCGGCTCTTCAGTGAGAAAAATGCTATAGTTAATGAAGCTCCTTCTGAAACTGTACCATCTACTGAAGACTTACAAAGGGCTGTTGAACACAAAAACAAGCTGCTGGAGTATGACCGTACAAGTGAAAAGAGGACTAAAGTTTTTGATGATGAGAATGACTACTTCAATGTCAACTCTCGGTGGCTGAATCAAGAGGACAAAATGAGGCTTCAAAAACGAGAAGAGGAACTTAGAAAGAAAAGATTTGACAGAAGTAATCAGACTATTACCATTGACTTCTGTGGCCGCAAGACTATAAGTGAGGAACAGATAAGTGGTGTTTATGATCCAGATGATCCATTGGTTAGAGAAATTCTGGAAGGCAAAACCAATGACATATTTTCTGCCCCAGATAGAGAAGAATCTAACCCAAAAGTAGAGGTAAATCGTCCCACGTACACTGATACAGGTCTTTGTACAGGCAAAGGACGGAGCAGTAGTAAGTTTAGTAAAACTGGAACAACACTCCGTTTACAAGACCGTGAACTGCAGGAAATGACTGATGATGGGATGTGTCTGAGCATGCACCAGCCATGGGCATCACTGTTGGTGGCTGGGATCAAGGTTCATGAAGGAAGAATGTGGTATTCTCCTCATCGAGGTAGGTTGTGGATTGCTGCTGCTGCGAAGGTGCCAACCCCAGAAGAGGTCAGACAGTTAGAGCATATGTATAGTGTTGTTCTGAAGGATGAGAACCTGCCATTCCCTCATCATTATCCCACTGGCTGTCTTCTGGGATGTGTAGATGTTACCGATATTCTTCCCCAAGAAGAATACAGAAATAAATACCCAGATGGAGAAAGTGATAGCCCTTATGTTTTTGTCTGTGAAAATCCTCAAGAAATGATCATTAAATTTCCAATGAAAGGGCAACATAAAATATACAAAATGGATCCTAAAATTCATCAAGCAGCAAAGAAAGCTCTAAGAGTAAGGGAAGAGTAATGCACCCTGTGTCTGTAGATGAATATTATGTGGTTATTGTACTACTGCAGTGTATATTACTTAATAAACTTCTTTCACTTAGTACACTAACTATTATTTAAGGGTAATGTCTTCTGAAATAACAAGAAAATATTGGTTTTGGTTAAACTGGCATTGTGACAACTTTAATGGATATGAATAAAAAACTGCATACGGTACTTTATTATTATTTTTTTTTCTCTTGTTCATTAACATACTTTATAAAAAAGATGTCTGGCATAAGAATTGTAGAAATGAATGAACTTTTGTTGTACAACAGGAAATATGAGAATATGTAGTTAGAATTATGAACAAATATGTGTGGAGTGGAGAAATCTACATAAAAATGGATTGATGAAAAGACATTCATGCAGTAAGATGGGGTGATATAGAATTCATAAAAGAGAATTTGAATCTGTTAATGAGTTATTAAGCTGAGAACTACAACATGAATGACAAAAGGTATACTGTATAGAGTACTGTACACTGAGAAGATATATGTGAAACTGAAAGTTTTGGGCATCAAGATCTTGCCAGTGATTAGAATAAAAGGATAAGAAAAATTCAGGCAAATTGTAAGCTCTGTCTTAACACGAGTTGAAGATAACGGATTCAACTATTTGTGGAATTTTTAGAGCGGTTTTGCTTTATTTAGGAATGGATTACAGATGATAGGTAAACTAAAATGTCTTGCACAGGCTTGTTTTATGTAGCTATCGAGCTTGCACATTTTGGGAGAGGGATTTCATCTAATATATATATACATACACTTCATTTTTAGTCCGTATAACACGCGGACTTTGAACATATAATCAACGACCTCACCAGCCAGGAATCGAACCCTCGACCTACTGGGTGGGACTAGGGAATGCTACCGACCAACCCACAAGGACACTAAAAGCAGTCCTAGACTGTTATATTTCACACAAAGCCTATTCATCGAGCTGATGGCACCGTGAACCTCATTCGGAACTGCCTGTGCCTCGTATGTGGTGTCAGTAGCATAATTTGCGTAATTTCCCACATGAAAAGTCAGTTCACTAGCTGACAGGTTGATTTCAGTAGTCCAGGAGAATCTGACTTGAGATTTTTTCTCATTCTTTTCCTTGTCAACATTTACACTCGGCTTTGACAATCCTTTTGCAAAATACTCTACTTCTTTCTCCTGATATCTTTCAATATGTCTTCTACTTTTGCTATGCAGTGTATCTTTTTCCTGGTTTTAGTTGCTACAGAGATTTAATAATAAACACAGTTGTACCAACATAAAATGACTTTTACATAAATTGTCTCGTGCATACAAACGTGATAAATAAGTTTTAATGTACTTGAGGATCACCTCTTGTTCAGCTTACCTATCTGATTTACACAAAAGCTTATAAATTTTGCTTGTGTCTGGTATCAAATGGTGAAAATATATGGCTGTACCCTCCCCTTATTAAATTTGTTAAGTGTGTACCTGAATGTAATGAGGCTAGCATTACAATATTGGTAAAATGAATAAAGATGAGAGTACAATATCGTCTCATATTCAAATCCTCTCTGTCACTGATTATATATTTTACAAATATCAGCAAAGCTCCTTCTGTAAGAAATCAAAGAATAGTTAACGCAAGCAAATAAAGTAAAAATAAAATGCAATGTACTTGGTGAAGAGCCATTGTAAAAAAGGCTGAAGTATAACAAATGTCCCCATAAAGTTAAGAAAGTATCACTGCTCAATAATTTTGTCAACTATTTATAGGCCTTGACAAAACTACTGTTCGTCCTCTAACGTGACTTAATTTAAGCTAATATGCATATTGTTATTATAGTAAAGTATTGGATGAAATTTGGGAAAAGCAAAAGGTCTTTGCTAAAAAACATAGTGTGGGGTACGAGTTGGGTTCACACTCAGGATGGGATGGAGAAAGGAAACTCACAATGTGCTCTCTGTATACATGTTGTATTGGATGTACAATGCAGCTTGGTGCTGGGAAGTGGCAGTGTGGTTACAAGTGTGATGTAGAGAGAGCTGGTTGGTGAGGATGCTCAGAAGAGGACCAGCTTGTGGGTCGCCATGCTCGCCGGCGGGAGTGAGGGCCGCCAGGGAGGAGGAGGAGGTGTTGCTGGCTGGTTGGTGTAGGTAGAAAAGAGAGGTAGGTCACCACGAGGTCAAGTCTTATATAGCGGAGGTAGGCGTGGCTTAATAGTTGACCTCCGTCATGTAAAGCGGCGCTGGTTGACCTAGACCACGAGGCATACACTGGGGAATTTGCGGGGTCAGCTACTCGGCGACAAACAGCGTTTGTAGGGGAGGTATCCACTACAGTACTCCCCCCTTCCTTCCAGGTGGTGCAGGAGACTTATTGTCTGAAGGGTTGCATGGCACATGTGAGGCAGAACGGGCGGTGCATGCCACATGTGAGCCATAACGGCGAGGGCGTAGATGAGCCGGCCGCTAGAGGAGACAACTGTCTAGATACACAATATCTGTGGGAGTAGAGAGGGAGAAAAAGAGTGTGTGGAGGCGATGAATGTTGTGCTTCCCTCACGGCAGGTACAGAGTCGTCAGATGCGCCTGCTGGAGTGTGTGGGCCTGGGTCAGGAGCAGGGGCTGCGTCAGCAAGAGCGGAGGAGAGTCCATGACAGCAGCAGGGTGCAGGACAGTAGCAGGGAGTACCTGAGGGAGAAAAGAGGGGTGTGTGGGTCCGCACCCAGGCGCATGGGCCGCGTCGGGAGCAGGGGCTGCATCAGGAGGAGCGGCAGGGGATAGTGCTGGGCCGGGGGCGGCATCTGAGGCAGGACGGGTGTGTTGGGGTCGGTGGGACGTGGTGCTTGGGGCAGGAAGAGGAGCGGCTGTCTGCTTAGAGTAGCAGAGCTGCTCTAGGCTGTTTAACCTGTGGTGTAGAGACAGTAGTTGTAGAGTCGATGAGAGCTGCCTCTGTGTGGATAAGCCAGTCTTCCATGTTGCTTGAAGACTGGGAGAGTGATCGGTTTCTCCTCCATCCTGTGTGAGTGCGAATCTCTGGGGGTCACCATTAGTGGGGTGGCTGATGTTTGGGTTCACACTCAGGATGGGATGGAGAAAGGAAACTCACAATGTGCTCTCTGTATATGTGTTGTATTGGATGTACAATGCAGTTTGGTGCTGAGAAGTGGCAGCGTGGTTACAAGTGTGATGTAGAGAGAGCTGGTTGGTGAGGATGTAGTGGATTTCTCCCCTACAAACGCTGTTTGTCGCTGCGTAGCCGACCCGACGAACTCCACAGTGTGTGCCTCGTGGTCAAGGTCAACCAGCGCCGCCATACATCACGGAGCGGGGGTCAACTACTAAGCCACGCCTACCCCCCTGCTATTTAAGACCTGACCTCGTGGTGACCGCTGTCTTTCAACCTACACCAACCAGCCAGCAACACCTCCTCCTCCTCCGCCTGCCTGGCGGTCCTCGCTCCCGCCGGCGAGCATGGCGACCCACAAGCTGGTCCTCTTCTGAGCATCCTCACCAACCAGCTCTCTCTACATCAAGCTTGTAACCACACTGCCACTTCCCAGCACCAAGCTGCATTGTACATCCAATACAACATGTATACAGAGAGCACATTGTGAGTTTCCTTTCTCCATCCCATCCTGAGTGTGAACCAAACATCCGAAAACCCCACAAGGATGCTCAGAGGACCAGCTTGTGGGTCGTCATTCTCGCCGGCGGGAGCGAGGACCGCCAGGCAGGCGGAGGAGGAGGTGTTGCTTGCTGGTTGGTGTAGGTAGAAAAGAGAGGTAGGTCACCACGAGGTCAGGTCTTATATAGCGGAGGGTAGGCGTGGATTAATAGTTGACCTCCGTCATGTATGGCGGCGCTGGTTGACCTAGACCACGAGGCATACACTGGGGAATTCGCGGGGTCGGCGACTCAGCGACAAACAGCGTTTGTAGGGGAGGTATCCACTACAATAGCAACAAGTCTTTCTTGATTATATGGCTTTATGGAGCCACAAAATGTAGAATGAACAAAAAAATAATTTTACAGTTCACCCTTAAGCTAAAATGAGGACTTAAGTCAAGTTTTCTTCGATGATAAGAAAGCAGATTAAGTTTTTATAATTAAATGCGCTCACCAAACTGTGGGTATTCTCTTTGAGTATCATCAAGTCTTCAAAACGCCCGCTTCTGACAGGTGGCGCTGCTAGTCTCCCTATGTTCGATCTGACGAATTATTTAATCATTACATTTCCAGCATTCTTTGTTAAATCGATTATTCCCACTTAATCAAAATATATTTAAAATTCACAAAACCACAATTTAATAGAGGTACCGGTATTTTCATATCGAATGAAGTTTTGAAAAATGTTACATCAGTTACTAAAATACTCAGCGAGAATCGGACAGTGTGTTTATCAGCTGACGAAATAAACATAGAGAAAAGAAATGAAGCAGTGAATAAAGCATTAAATGGTTCACACGAATACTGGACCTGTCCATTTCTTTCCACTTTCACCCCCACCACCCTGCCATCCACGTGATGTTATGAATATGTTAATAAATACTGTACTCATGGTCTTGAAGGTAAATGTTCAGTCTGATGAATAAACTAATATCAAACTATTACTAATTGAATACACGCAATATGAATCTAAATTCTACACTTACCCTATGTAATTATTTGTCTTTGATTTTCCATTCTCAATTATCGATTCCAATTTTCAAGATAAATTTTGGCATAGATGGCATAGATTATCCATCTGTTTATGGTACTCTGAATGATCACTGCAGGTAGTTTAATGTTATAATAACGCTTTAGGATGCGTTATATGTTTTTTTATTTGATATTGATATTTTACCATGAAAAAATCCGCATAAAAAACATTAGTTTTTCGTTAATTCGTGTAACTTTTCTGTTATTTGAAGTTAATTCCTTTTGTTTCACTTTTATTTCTTGAATGTGTATTTATGTAAACATGTATGAATTTTTAACCAATTTGAATTTATAATTTACTTTACTTTATCCTCTTTACCACGACATTTTACTAAACATCCATCTTTATCTATTTATCTATCTAAAATAACAATTGTCTATGTGTGTTGAATAAATTTAAACTTTTATCAAAATTTTGCTTAATATCTGTCAATTTCTTATTGTATCTCTATTTTCTCATTCTCTCTCATTGTATCTCTATCTCCCATTGTATCTATCTCCCATTGTATCTACCTCTCATTGTATATCTATCATTATATCTCTATCTCGCAGTCTCTCCTTCAGTAATGCTGTGGAGAGAAAGCTTCAGTCAGTGGTTCATACACCAGTGAAGCAGGGCTCACTCGGTGACTAATCAACACACTGAGCACACCCCCGTAAAAACATATACCAGTCTCCCTTAGTGGCCAACAAGACGTCTCAGGAACCTCACCCAGCCAGCCAAGGTCATTTCAGCCTTCCATCGCGCAATATTAACTTTCCCAGTGTCTTAGTGCTTCTCCCGTCTTCAAAATGGGCAACAAGAGCAGTTTAATGTTGCAGGAACAAGATATCAGAGACATTCAAGCAGAAACTGGCTGTGAGTAGTTAAAGCCGTCCTGTGTTATCTAATAATTAATATAAGTGAGTAGTTTTCCTAGTGTCTTGTGAGGGTAAATCCCCAAGTTGCAGCTCCAGTGGTGTTCAGGGCATTTAATAGTATGTTTTGTATGATGTCTAGTACACAATTCCTGTGGTATAATGAAAAAAATTACTTCAATGTATGGTAAGCTGTGGATATTTGTCCGGTTGGTGGTTAGGTAGTCTTTTTTTTTTAGATTGACATCAGGAGGAGTTGGTAGAATTGGAAACTATAATCCATTCATTGACATTAGGTATGTTTTTAAAGGTTTTTCTGGTAAGTTAGGTAGGTTACTTTAGGTCCTAACCTAAAGTAACCTCTCTAGGTTCTGTGTATTCTTTGTTCCACAATGTTCCGTCCAATTCCATCAACTCCTTTTGGTTCTCGTCTTAAAAAAAAAAAATGGTATTATTATTGTTTTGGTCATCCAGCAAATTTTAGTAGGTTAGGTTAGAGTGCATTTGAGAAGCAGTGCTGTGACCGTTTTTTACCAGTTAGGTTAGTTTCCAAATAGGTGGATGACTGAAATAATAATTTTACCAAAAAACACCTACCAAACAGACAACCGGACATCTATCCACAGCCAAAAAATATTTCCCATTACAGAAGACTTCATAGTTGTTAGTTGTTTATTACTTTTTTTTGTTTTTTTTACGAAACCATATGGGTGCATTTATATGATGATTTGAGAAATTTGATAATGGTTAGTTTTCAGTATAATTTTAATTTATTGAGGAAGTAGCAAGTAGACCATGTTTGGTAATAATCCAGATTGGTTGTGCACCTTAACTACCAACCGTACTGTAAAACATTTCATCATAGAACGTAAATGCTTTCTTACATCATGAAATTGAAGAAAAGTATATGAGCATTGCATTTTGTTTAATATAAATCTTATTGCTCGTGCACTTTTTGTTGTTGTTCTGAGGTAAGAATCTTTTTATGTTCTTTGGTGAAATTTAATAAAGTAGGTAGTTAAGGCATGCAAAATATCTGGAATGTTGCTCCATGTACTTTGTGCATTTGTAAATTTGTTAGTAATATTCGGGAACAGTATCCCACACTAACTAGGAACTTTACAAAAATTTTCTATTGAAGATAATTGTTTTTTGTTCTTCATAAAAATCTCATAAAATGTTGAGGATTTGTGGTAATAGTTTACATTTTGTGAGAAAGAGCATTTTTAGGAACAAAAGTTTACAGTTGCTTAGTGTAAGGTCACTTGCTTGGAAGCGTGTCAACATTTTTAACCATATACATTGTGTGAGTGGATGGGACTGTATTTACTCTTAACCTAAGCTAGAGAACAATAATAGGAAAATTGGAACTCTTCCCCTATTTTATTCTAAAGGTAAGGAAGAAGTTTTCTCCTATAGTTGCTCATTACTGGAGATGCAATTTGTGAATTTGTGTAGTATTATTATTACTTTTTTTTTCATCCTGAACACTTATGTAATCTAGTGACACTACCTTTCATTTTTTATACCATTCCATACTCACAAGGAGCCAGAACATTTTGTGTAGTAGGTGATAACTTTCTTATTAAATGTTTTATGTTTTGACAATGTCGAGGATTTGCAATTTTTTTTATTATTTGGGTATTTTTTTCTTGAACAGCATTTCACACACAGACACAAATAGTTTCAAAGAGGAACAACTTACCAGCTACTGCTATACTGTAATAAATTATTTATCAGGAAGATGATCCAACCTAACCTAACCAAACCTACCTAATTTACCTAATCTAATCAAACCTAGAATAGATAGATTACTTAGGCTAACATGGCTCATTTGATTATTTTCTTTAGAGAAATTTCCTCAAGTTTTTACTTCCAGAGAATAGGTGTGTACTGCATTACCAAATTAACATAAAGTGCTACTGAAGGTTGTCTGAATTTAGAAAAGTATATACCACACTAAGATCTCATATTTTGCGCGATTTCATTTCGCTTTTTTGAATTTCGCGAGCACTACCTAATGTAGCCAAGCCTTATATTTGGCGTAAAATATCGTGAATTTCGCGAGATCCTGCCAGCTGAACGCGAGATCCAGCAAGCTGAATGCTGGCCAAAGTCTTGAATGACATCACAGCCCTCATACCAGTCAGTCATTTCTGCTACAATGCGTGTTTTGTCAACGCGATTGATGAATAGGGGAACCCTGTTTGTAAAATGCGAACTTTTGCATACGAATATTGGCTATAGTGCGATTCCATCCTCAATGTTTAAGCGCAGCGCGGGGCTATGCAATGTTTACAGTTCACGTTCGACATCACATGTTCAATTGATTCGTGTCTTTTGTTTGTGAAGTGTTTTTTTGAGAGGTGCTCTGTAATTTTTTTTTTTTTTTTTGCAAATTTAGCTGTTACCCATAAATATTTTATGAAAAGAATAAGTAAAAAGAATGTTTCGCAGTGAGGACTAATAATGGTTTACACCAGCTCTCTGTTTACATCATGCGATCAGTTGAATCGCGTGGTTTCTGTCAATTACTCCGTGATTTTTGCTATTTTCTCCAATTTTGTTGTGTTAGCGATGAATACGGAAAGACAAGGTAAGAAGAATGTTTCCAAGAAGCGTTCTGGTGATCGAATTGCCGGTGGTGAACGTAAAAGAGGTTTACAAGAACGCAACTCGCGTTGTAGCCCATGCCATCCTAGTGACTGCCTGGGCTGTTATTGTGTGCTTTTATGGGTGGTGCTACCACCTGTTAAGTCAAGATAATGGACTCTACCTCTACTGGGGATCCTACTGGTGCTGGTGGGACAGACCCACCTAAGCTGCCAAATAAGGAAAAGGAGAAGTGGGACTATCATATGGGAGTTAAGTTTGCCAAGTACTACTCGATGCAGGATAAGCAGCGTGTGATTAAATTACTTGAGGAAGGCCTAAAAACTAATTTCCGGAAAGCACTATCAAGTCAATAAAGGCAGAGGTTGATGTAGAGTGGTTGATGTAGAGTGGCCAGTCTATATTGTTATTTTTCCCATTAGTTTATGTATTTGCATTTGGCGAATTTGAATTTGGCTCAATTTTACCAGTCTATATTACTCGCGAAATACAAGACCTTACTGTATATATCACACTGTACAGAACTCAACTCCGTGATGGTTTCCTTCTAAAAAGTTCAATAATGGTTTTTGTGAAAATCCTGAAGGCACTGTGGTCATGGCCCTAGTTGCTGCCTCTTAGGTAACTTCAGAGTTATTTTGGTTAAGGTATGCGTACAGTACAACATTATTTAATTAAGAAACAACCTTTCAATCATTGGGGAAAATGTACACCACCATTCCACTTATACAGTACAGTACACTACAGGTAGTTCATTTCAGTGTGAGTAGATTTCATGGCATTTCTTCCTGGACGACCTTATTTTATGTTTAGGCAAATGATTATGTGACTAAATGGCAGTTATCAAGGTGATGTTATCCATTTTTGCCTTCAGAGATTCACCTTAGCTACATTAAGGAAGAAGAGTTATTACAGTTTTTGAGATTTATACAGTAAAGTCGGTGTGAAGACAATCACAAGGTGAAATTTTGTTTAATAGTTAAGAATAAGGGTTCAGGTTATCCAAACACCTAACATAAAATCTCCATAGAAAAAACTTGTTTCCTACTACAGGAATAAAGCAAATCAGGTTGAAGAATAGTGTAGCACTTTTCATATTCAGGTAAAGATGCCAAAGTAAATGTCTACCTACCTATAAAAGCATAAACTGTACCTTACCTGTATTTTTGCTCAAAATCTGGTAGCTACAGTATAGTGAAGGGAATTGTATACTGTATGTTTTTGAGATAACAAACCTGGCATCCTAATACCCTGTGAAATTTGTACTCAAGTAATAGTACAACTTTGTCATGGTGATTAAGTCTATTTCTTCGAGGCTGGGATCTGATACATCTGTACTGTGCTGTGTGGGTAGGAGTTCTTGACCTGTGAATTATCATAACCAATTTTCCCTTCATATTTCTATCTGAAGAGGTTGTACAGTATGTCTTTTATGATGAGAGTTCCATTACTAATTTTTGTTGTTTGTTATTTTTCTACAGTTTTACCAAGTCAAATCGAGCGACTGTACAGCCGCTTCACCAGCTTGGATAAGGCCGATAATGGTTCACTCTCCCGGGAAGACTTCCTTCGCATTCCTGAGTTAGCAATCAACCCTCTAGGTGATCGCATAGTTCACGCTTTCTTCAAGGTGAGTAGCTAGTTGTTGATATTTACTAATACTGTTTGGCAACATTTTATATTAATCTTGAAAGGGTACGATAGCCTGTGGTGCTAGTTCGATGGCTCGTAATTTTTGCTAATCCAGAGCCGGTCTGTTCCCAAGCTTTCTGATTAGCAAGGTCTAACCTGCTGATTTCGGATCTGGGTTCACAATTTAAAATTTCGAGTAATTAGTGTTAATTAATGACCCTTGAAATAATTAAAGATACCGTATTTAAAAAATCAATTACGCTGTACCTGTATGTTTTAAATCACCTTTATATACATTTTCTTAAAAATATAGACTATCTTTACAATATAAACACGTTAGTTTTCACTTTCCCAAAAAATGTTGATTTACTTAAAAAATACGCCTGACCCTTTACTGTATTACAAAATACATTGTACTGTAGAGGATTTTAATTTTACAACCCCCCATAGCTTATAGAGTAGTACAATTATACTGTACTGTATCTTTTTTGGATCAAAGATAATCTCAAGGGCTACTGAGGTCTGTGGGTACAAGAAAGTTAAAAGGAAGAGCAAGAAATTTTTGAATAGTGGGAAGAAAGGTTGATAGGATTCATTAAATAGATGAGAGGGGAACTTAAGAGTGTTAGTTGCATGGATGGATGAGGAATTAAAACAGTGAATGAATGCAAAATTAGTTTCGGAAAAAAGGGTCATCTATAGATAAATCACCCGAATGCTTAACATAACCTGACTTGACCTGACCTAACCTAACTTAACTTAAAGCTTCTCGGGTAATGATAGAGTTATATGAATGAGGAAGAGGATAAGTAAAGGAGGTGTTTGCAGTAAAGGACATTACAGTATCAAAAAGTTTCTGTAGGAGGGGAGACTATTTTTGTATTTATATTTTTTATTTTTTTGCATTTTAGTTTCAAGATTTATAAAAGGTGTATGATAAGAGTAGGTAGAAAGCAATTTTGAAACTTAAAGAGAGATTAAGTATTAGAAGAACATTTACTCCCTTTCATACACTCATTTGACATTTTGATAATTATTAAAGGTCAGGCAGGAGCTTTCAAATGTGATCTCTTATACTCTATTATGTTGTTAAAGGGTACCAGTTTCTTGTGGAATATTGTGTTATTCGGCCAATCACTCGTGATATTGGAAAGCACAAATGTTTGATAAAAGAAGAGACTTGAGGAACATACTGATTAAAAAAATATATATTCACAGATGTATGTCAAGTGAGTGGCATGATAAGATAATAATCCAGTCATCTCGCTGTGAAATGATCTCTTTAGTGTAAATTGAGTGTTAGGAAAAAGTCTAATGTTTTGATGAATAAACATTATATGATTTATTTGTTCAATTCTTATACAGTAGCAGGTCCAGATACAAGTACAGGTACTGTACTGTGCTGTATCCAGACAAATTTCCAAATGATAACAATGAGTAAGCTCTTTTTAAAGCAGGAACGTACATTATTATATCACATCATTGTGTTGCTGTAGAATGTAAAGATATTTCCTTATTTCAATGACTAAAATTGTTCATCATATTATAGCTATGATGAAGTCAACATTATGTATACTGTATATATTGTCACACTAAATAGCGATAATATCCGGTTAAACCTTAAAAAACAACTGAAGTTTTTGCCAAATACTGTACTGTATATTAAAGCCTCCGTATAATGTGTTTCACAACTAACTGACTCTTGATATAATGGACTTCCTACTCCATATACTGTAATCCGTTAACAGAGGTTTCACTATAGGGATATACTTAGTTTTTATTGTTATAACTCGATAGAAATTAATTTTTATTTGATAAAATTTGCTCTGTGTCATTTAGAGTGTTGTTTACTATCATAATGTAACAAAGTTATACCAAGAGTGGATTAGGTAAGATTAGGTTAGGCTTTGTATAGAACTATTCATTTCATTTATATATATTTTTTGATCTACATGATCGTTTATGGCCAGTCAGAAGTTTGCCAAGAAGATAAATATTGTACATAGCAGTTATTGCTACCCGGCAGTTATCCCTATTTAGTGTAACAATTTATATACTATATGCCGTAATACAGTACAGTACAGTCATCCCTTGGTTATCACGCCTAATTGGGACCGCACCGAGTGTGTGATAACGAAAAACGCGATAACGAAAGTGCAGAATCTATGGAATTTATTCTAATTGGTTCCAAGCACCCAAGACCCAACCCCAATTTTCCCATTTTACGACCACTTAGACCAGGGGTGTCAAACTCATGGCCCGCGGGCCACATTTGGCCCGCGGGGTGGTCAGGTGTGGCCTGCGGGATGACGGTAAAATTTATCATCCCGTGAAATTATGCAAGAAATAGATATAATCATGTATACAGTATTTAGTAAAATGAATTTTACATACTTAAGATCAGACAAACCCAAATGAGGTATTCCTGGTAAGCCAGGTAAGGCAATGTGTGAAGCTGTAAACTTCAATCCTGCAAATATGTGATATAGCACTTGTGTTGGCCCTGAAGAGGGTAACTAAAATAAGAAGTGGCCCTCGAAAGGTATTGAGTTTGACACCACTGATGTAAGACTTACATTTTTGGTAATTTTTGGCCAAAAATTCGATTTTGCTGAAAATCACAGTGTGGGTACTCCTGAGCTTGCTGATTGTTCATATGTGGTCAACGATTCGATTGCAGAGTAATTAGTGGCCAAAATGACCCTTGAAAGATTTTACTGATATTTTTCAATGCTCATTACTAGGGCCCGGATAGTTATGCATTTGCATATTTCATATGCAAATGCATATTTTGCGTGATTTCTATGATAAGTGCATATTACCTAGATAACTGCATATAAATGCATATTTTGGTAAAATATTCATCTGGCAGTATCTCTTTGTTGCTACTGAATGAGCACACGTGGTACTGGGAGGTGAGGTGAGGTGTGGTTAGGTGAAGTGAGGTGAGGTCACGTCGCTTTAATCTGTCGTTTCCACACCTGGTCATGACTCATTGGACTAGTGAGTTAGTCAGTCAGGAGCAGTGCTGCTGTGTGGAGCTACTCTCTTCTGCTGCTCGTGAAAATGCCGAAAGTACAAAGAAACCAAAATGAAGTGCTGAGATCATATGTAAAGGAATTTGATGCATTTACTACTGATGGAAGTGAAAAAAGTCAGTCAGATAATGTCTGGTGATGCTATTATTGACGAGACGGTACAGCCACTCACTATGTCAGACCTCCTATGTATGAAACATGCACCAATCGTCTCGTGTGATGTAGAAAGGGTGTTCTCAGAATATAAAGCTATGCTGACAGACAACAGGCGGGGTTTTAACTTTGAGAACTTACGCCACCATGTACTCATCAAATGCAACCACAATCTGTAATGTCTGAAAATATGTCAGTCTATAATGTAAATACATGTTCATATATATTTTTTGAAGCTCTTTCACATATATATGTTAAATACATTACGTATATTGCTTAATAAACATTAGTTTATATTAACTATTTTGTTTCCGTATAACCTGCATTCTTGGCTTTATAAGCGACATTTTTAGTGCATATAAATGCATATTTCCCCAGTTTTTAGTGCATATTTGCATGCATATTTCATGGTTTTTTAGTGCATAACTATCCGGGCCCTACTCATTACTCATCAACTATGGGTTTCCAAGGTGTGATTTAGGGTTTGTGTGTTATTCTGAAGGTACTTAATTAGTTAATCCCCTTAAATTTCAATTCTGATAAAAAAGTATATTTTGGTCAAAAATTTTGTAAGGTGTAAGACTTACATTTTTGGCCAAAAATTCGATTTTGCTGAAAATCACGGTGTGGGTACTCCTGAGCTTGCTGATTATTCCTATGTGGTCCACGATTCGATTGCAAAGTAATAAGTGGCCAAAATGACCCTTGAAAGATTTTACTGACATTTTTCAATGCTCATTACTCATCAACTATGGGTTTCCAAGGTGTGATTTAGGGTTTGTGGGTTAATCTGAAAGTACTTAATTAGTTAATCCCCTTAAATTTCAATTCTGATAAAAAAGTATATTTTGGTCAAAAATTTTGTAAGGTGTAAGACTTACATTTTTGGTGATTTTTGGCCAAAAATTCGATTTTGCTGAAAATCACAGCCTGGGTACTCCTGAGCTTGCTGATTGTTCATATGTGGTCAACGATTCGATTGCAGAGTAATTAGTGGCCAAAATGACCCTTGAAAGATTTTACTGACATTTTTCAATGCTCATTACTCATCAACTATGGGTTTCCAAGGTGTGATTTAGGGTTTGTGTGTTATTCTGAAGGTACTTAATTAGTTAATCCCCGTAAATTTCAATTCTGATAAAAAAGTATATTTTGGTAAAAAATTTTGTAAGGTGTAAGACTTACCTACATTTTTGGTGATTTTTGGCCCAAAAATTCGATTTTGCTGAAAATCACAGAGTGGGTACTCCTGAGCTTGCTGATTATTCCTATGTGGTCAACGATTCGATTGCAGAGTAATTAGTGGCCAAAATGACCCTTGAAAGATTTTACTGACATTTTTCAATGCTCATTACTCATCAACTATGGGTTTCCAAGGTGTGATTTAGGGTTTGTGTGTTATTCTGAAGGTACTTAATTAGTTAATCCCCTTAAATTTCAATTCTGATAAAAAAGTATATTTTGGTCGAAAATTTTGTAAGGTGTAAGACTTACATTTTTGGCCAAAAATTCGATTTTGCTGAAAATCACAGTGTGGGTACTCCTGAGCTTGCTGATTGTTCATATGTGGTCAACGATTCGATTGCAGAGTAATTAGTGGCCAAAATGACCCTTGAAAGATTTTACTGATATTTTTCAATGCTCATTACTCATCAACTATGGGTTTCCAAGGTGTGATTTAGGGTTTGTGTGTTATTCTGAAGGTACTTAATTAGTTAATCCCCTTAATTTTCAATTCTGATAAAAAAGTATATTTTGGTCAAAAATTTTGTAAGTTTTAAGACAGGAGTGTCAAACTCATGGCCTGCGGGCCAAATGTGGCCCTTGGGATGGTCAAGTGTGTCCCGCGGGATGACGGTATAATTTGTCAACCCGTAAAATTATGAAAGAAGTAGATATAATCATGTTTATTTAGTAAAATTAATTTTACATACTTAAGATCAGACAAACCCAAATCAGGTATTCCTGGTAAGCCAGGTAAGGCAATGTGTGAAGCTGTAAACTTCAATCCTGCAAATATGTGATATAGTACTTGTGTTGGCCCTGAAGAGGGTAACTAATATAAGAATTGGCCCTCGAAAGGTATCGAGTTGGACACCACTGATTTAGACCCACTAAATATGTAGATAAAGTTATGGTAAGTATCAGAAAAACACTTAGGCATGGCTAGGTTTATTACAAAGTGATGAAAGGGGTATGCTCAATACTGTAGTCCACAAAACATGTAGCTATGCTTTTTTTATTTGAGTCCCCCGTCTGAGGAGTCCGTTTTTTCATTGCTTCAGGACGCCTGAGTCCTCAGTATTCTCTCAATCTTAGAGTGCACCCGGGACTTCGTTATTCCTTAGTTATGACACAGATTTTGAAATTGCAACTGGGGTTGCAATTGTTGAGGCAACTTAGATATGTCTGATTACAGCAAATGTGTTATTGTCAATTTGTAGGCGAAAGATTTTATCCTCAATAGATGTAGGTGAAGGTAATGGGTAAATACACCTGGAGGAAACTGCGTGATAACGAAATTCTCGGCTTGAAAAATGCGCTGTAACAGCAGGTGTGCAGATTTTGATGGAGGCGTGATAACGAAAATCGCGATAACCAAGTGCGCTATAACCAAGGGATGACTATTTACCTGTATTGTGTGTAAATGGACTGTCAATTAAGTCACCATTTTAAATGTGATTGGTTTGAGCAGGATTCATGTTGATGAAGAAGTTGTACTGAGATTAATCTGATTATATGCCATTGTAACATACTTTATGATCTTGTCTGCAGAGAGAGCTAACCAAATTCTGATCAGAACAGTAAAGTTGATCCCTTCTTATCTCTAAAATTCTGATCTGTAGATATTACTTATCACTAGAGCTCCTAAATCCTAGCGTCTGGATCAGTTCCAATTGATATATAGAACAGTTATCAGCATGTAATAATTCATTACAATTCTGTATATCATTTCATCCCCAAACTTAGCAGCCTCTGTACAGTATTTACAAAATTGAAGTTATGAAAGGAGAGAAGTTGACAAAAAAAATTGTGCTCTTTATGTCAACTTTTTTCCTTAATATGGTTATAGATTTGATAGTTATTACCATGATGACCATCTTGAAAATATTAATACTTTTGTTTCAGGAAACCTTGTTGCTGTAGTCGTACACATACTGTATACTGTATTCAAAAAACCCATTTCCAAAACATATTAAAAGAATTAATATCTGTAATAGCATATGTAAATTATCTATATTGTATAAGGAAAATTACCCTAATAGTGATTAACAATTCTAGTTAAAAGTTGCTTCTGGTAAAAGGTATTAATTAGACAGGGTCCTTAGGTAATATAGTCAGAGCTTAATGATCCGAGATTTAATGATTCACAGTTAGTTTTAGATGTAAAGTGTGTGCCAAGAATCAAGACTGCTGTGCTCCCACCCACACAGTCATTGCATCATGCCCTGCTGCTTCATATTGTTCACTGACTGAGAATCGTTTTTTAATTCAGAAATTCTGCCCTAACAATGACTTCCTAGAAAATACCAAATGATAGTGATGCTTGCAATAGTGCAGGAAGGAAGTATATTACCAAAAACTTAATCTCATGCAAAACTGAAATATTAGAAAACTAGACATTGGTGTTGCAGTTCACAATTTTGCTAAACAAATGGTATTGGAAGTATAGTACTGTACAAGAATTTATGATACCTGTACCAAGAGGCAGTGTGGTAAGATTTTGAAATTCTAAGCAGAGTGAAGCAAACTGCAGCATGATCAAGCTTAGATCATTGTATGTAGCAAGGTTGGCAGAGCTTGTGTGTGGTGTAACTCTTACCTGGTGGCTAATGATTCTCTACTCTGCCTCCATATGTGCAAAAATGCAGTAACTTGAAATGTCTGCCGATGATGGCTGCCATCCCTACAATTTATAAATACCATTTGAAGGTTATATTTCCTGGAAACATTCAACTCACCCTTTCCCCTTACAATTCAGAATAATGTACATTACTGGAGATTTACTGTATAGTGTATGGTAGAGTGAGGTTCCAGAGAGTTCATTACTTAGTGACCTACAGTATGTACTGTACAACATGCCCTTAAAATTTGTGGATTTTTTATTCGCCCTGGATGTACCCAAGAATGTCTCAGGGTAGTTTTAAAGTTGCTGGCATTTTCGTGACCGGGACAGGGAGCCATTCGTTCTAGACAGTAATTTCCTTTACTTGTATTGTATATATGTGTGTGTTTGTAGACACACACAAAACACATACAAATAAATAATAATGGGAATTCCTCTTACAAATAATCTGAAACAAATGTATTAAAAATGTTGAGTCTACCCTCAAGTCCACTCCATGCTTTATTGATAACAAAGAATGGAGTGGACTTAAGGGTAGACACAACAGTTTTAATACATATGTTTCTGATTATTTGTGAGAGGATTTTCCCATTATTATTTATTTGTATGTGTGTGAGTGTCTATGCCCACACACGTATATACAATACAGGTAAAAGAAACAATTGTCCTAAGGGCAAACACATAAAGAGAATATACATTTCTTTGTACACAAGTAAAAAGTACCCCCTCCCCCCCTGGTCAGCAAATGTTATTTGCGGCCATTTTGAGAACCTAACCCCCGGAATTTAAAGGGCATGCTGTACTACAGTATTGTATTTGCTTTTGTTTCTTAACTGGGATGATAATATTTTGTGGTAGGAAAATTTTGCTTTTATTCATAGTAGATACAATAATTTAATTTATATTTTTTTAGGAAAGCGAAGATGATCATGTGAACTTCCGTCAATTTGTACGCGTCTTGGCTCACTTCCGTCCCATCAAGCGTACTCAAGACAATAAACTTAATGCTCGTGAAGAAAAACTTAGATGTAAGTATTGTAGTGATATCTTCAGTAATTTATGTTAAGCTTAAGAGATTTACTGTCTGATGTATGTACTAATCTTTAGGAAGTACATATTTAATTTTTGTCTGTATATATATATATATATATATACAGTATATATATATATATATATATATATATATATATATATATATATATATATATATATATATATATATATATATATATATATATATATATATATATATATATATATATATATATGTGTGTTAAAGTGAATGGGAAGACTTTAACATTGTACAATATTATTATATGATTAAAATGAAATGCATTAGAGTACTTGTTAATTTTCATGATTTAAATAATTGCCTAAAGTACTTTTTTTTACAGCATTTGTATACAGAACAGTATACTGTAATAGTGTAGGAATGTACAGTATGTGTGTTTGTCTTAATTGTGGTATTATTTTTCAGTTGCCTTCAAAATGTATGATCTTGACGACGATGAACGCATCTCTAGAGAAGAACTTCTTGCAGTCCTCCATATGATGGTTGGAGAGAACATAAGGTGAAGGATATCTTGCTTGATGTAATGTTGTGATAACCCAGAATGTAAGTTTTAATAAATAGAACTTTTAAAAAGAAGGATTGGGCCATTTGAAACTATAGTACAGGAGTAATTGATCATAAAATTTTTCAAGGCATTGTTCTTTTTTCTTTTACTTTACTGCAGAAAAATCATAAAGAAATGCATCTGTAATTTATACTGTACCAAGGCAAATGTATGGTTGTCATTACTGAAGCATGAGGCAAATGGATGTGCAATCAGGAAGCTGCAGTGTGTAAATGAGTGGAAAGCATACTGTTGAGTGGTATTTAGGGCTGTACATGCTGCTGATGAATGTATCTTTTACAACAGTAAAAATGAATAAATGACATGAAGTGAAGTGTAAATGTGTGTATATATTTACTCCAGTTTCTAACCACCTTTCAAAACTAAGCAAGAAAAGGCTTGAAAGAGTAATGTACACTATATGTGTGAATATACATACAGTACATATAGATACTGAGGTAATCAACTTTCCTGGAGGAAGTGTACAGACACACACACAGTAAATATGGTTATTGAAAGTAGTTGATATAATATCTTTTATTTTCTCAGATGGCTATTGTTAGTGTCCAGTACATATAAAACTGGTGTCCAGATAACTGTAAACCCCTCCTCACCAACAAATTTCATGGTACAGTACGCCCGGATAATTTGCAAATTTTTATTTCGCTGTCCTCTATCATTCGCGGTTGACACCCTAGATGTACCCAAGAATGTCTCTGGGTAGTTTTAAAGTTGCCGGCATTTTTGCGGCCGGGACAGGGAGCCATTCGTTCCAGAGACGATTATTACTTTACCTGTACAGTATTGTATATTAGTGTGTGTGTGTGTGGACACACACACACACACACACATACTGTAAATAATAATGGGAAAATTCTATCAAAAATACTGTAATAGGAAACAAATGTATTAAAATTGTTGAGTCAACTCCGTGCTTTATTAATAACGAAGCACGGAGTGGACTTGAGGGTAGTCTCAACATTTTTAATACATTTGTTTCTAATTATTTGTGAGAGGATTTTCCCATTAGTATTTATTTTTATTTGTGTGTGTGGATTTACACACACACACACACACAATACAGGTAAAAAAAAAATAATTGTCCTAAGGGCAAACACATAAAGGGAATATACATTTCTTTTTACACAAGTAAAAATTAACCCCTCCCCCCCAGTCAGCAAATGTTGTTATTCGGGGACATTTTGAGAACCTAACCCCCGCTAATTTGAAGGGCCTACTGTACTGTAATTTGAGAAAGTCTTTCAACAGAGATGTTGAGAAATCCTAACCTTGTACAATACAGTACAGTAAAGTACTTATATGATATATTGCAGATTATATTTAGTGTACTGTATATTATTTTGAAATGGAAAATCATTGCATCTTCAGATGTTTAATATTGATTTTGGGTATTAATCATAAACCAAATGACCCTTAATTAGGAAACTGCATATTGCAGATAAAACTAGTTAGTTGTACAGTATATAATTCAATATGCATATACCCTGTACTGTATCTATATATGGCAAAGAAGAACAGTCTGTTATGATTTTGATGTTGGCCACTGAGCATCCTAAGTGGGGAAAAGACTTGAAAGAAAGGGAAAAACACAACTGAAATTTAATACTGTACTTAATTTACAAATACTGTATTGTTTTACTTTTGTAACAGTGATGAGCAACTCAACAGCATTGCAGAACGAACCATTCTTGAGGCTGACCGTGATGGAGACCAGATGATCAGCTTTGACGAGTTTTGCACTGCCTTGGAGCGGACAGATGTTGAGCAGAAGATGTCCATCAAGTTCCTTAAATAGATTTTGAGTCTCTTCAGCAACTTTAAAGTGTAGTACTGTTGATGTTCACTCGTGTTGAATACAAAGGTTATAGATGTGTACTGTATCTCTGAAATTAGACTTGGGGAAGAGATTTTTTATTGAGCTTAATAATTTTGTAGAGATAAATTACAGGGATTATTTTAGTTTTGAGATCAGACACAAGTTTAATGTGTAATTAGGAGTTTACCCTTAATTTCAATTATCACTTTCAACCCAGAAATTTTCCTTGTACCTTTGCATAGATACTGTGATAGAAAACTTTCTTGGTTTGTACCATGAGTAACATTTGATGGAATACTGTCTCATACATTATATATTTCACTGAGGCTTCTCTTCTTAATTTTTGAGCAATCACAATACATGGTGGCCTTATTTAAATGTGTGGTGCAAACCATTGGTAACCAACTTTTTGCTGTCAAGATTATTTTGCAGGTTCAATCAGAAAACATGCTTTTAAAGATCACATACAGTTGTAACTACTTAAGGTTTAATTATTTTTAACTCCAGGATTCCCCCCACCCTCCACTTGTGTTAAGTGATGGCACAATATACTGTATTTCCCTTATGCACAACTAGTTGACTGGAAGGTTGTTTTATTTTTGTGGTCTGTCTTTGGTGCTCTTTTGTGTAATTACACATAGATTTGAAACCAAAACACATGGTTATACTTGCATAAAACCATGAAAAGTCACATCTGTATGTGTATTCCTTTAAGTGTGTCCAATTGCGTTAGATACTTATTCCTTTATTTAAGATTTGAGAGTGAGAATGTTCAGTAGAACCTTGATATTACTAATAATCATTTTATTTGGGAGTAGCATTTCCACATCAAAGTGGAAATATATATATATTTAGCATTCTAATACAGGGTGTTTATAAAGTCCCTATCCATTTCAGTGAAATAACGGGTAACTGTGTTAAATTCAATTATAAAATGATAGAAGGTATACATTTATTAATTACTTAAGATGTCAAAAAAATTTTAGACAGTTGAATTGGGTAGCCTGAGTGTACGTGATGCGCCACAAATTGACATGCGTGGTTCTCCCGTGATAGCATTTCGTATTGCATTTACGAGGATGACCAGATCTTGGTTCATCATTAAAACAGATCCTGTTCTTTGAATTTATTCAACAATTCGCGTATTGTCTCGTCTGTAGGACTTGGCTTATGAAATTTTCTTTGAAACCTCTCTCTAATTTCTTTCCTTGAATATGCAATGTTACCACCAGCACACATTCATCTTCATGGTGTTTTGCAATAAATTTTTTCATTTCACTGAAATAGATAGGGACTTTATAAACACCCTGTAATATAAACCACATATACATGTAGATATTAGACATTTTTGCAACATCAGCCAAGGTCCTTCTGACTGTATAATAACAACTGCATTTTTCTTCAGCAGCAGTGTACTGTACATAAGGGTCATATAGCAAATAAATGGATTACAAAATTTTGACAATCTGCGCACATTTTTGCTACATTTGCTAGCATTTACAGGCTCCACTCTTTGTGTATGTATTGAATGCCGGTATATACCATATTTATAGAGAGCATTATAAAAGTGCTTTATTTTTGTCCAATAAATATAATTTACAGCAAAATCTTGCTCTGATTATGTATTCATTCTACTGTACTGTGCATTATCAAGGTTCCACACACACAAAAAAAAAATAATTGAAATACCATTCACTGCTAAATCCCTGCACAAGTTGAGAAAAAGTGTGCGGCAGTATATGTTTTCAGGAGAATGTTACTCTGCAATTCTATACTTTTTCTGGGTAATGATTTGATATGAATATGGAGATATTAAAATTATATATATTTTCCTTTATGAAAAGAACAATGTACAGTATAGTATATATATATATGTGTGTGTGTGTATAGAATAAGAAGGCGACCTATGGTGTAATAGTCGGCATACTCTCCTAGCAAATGGGTGGACCTGGATTGATATCCGGCCAGGGTGAAACTTTTGGTAAGTTTCTTTACGCCATTTGCCTCTGTCTACCCAGCAGTAATTGGGAACCAGGATGTTAATCGACCTGCAGATCATGTTTTGGGGTAATGGTTAACCAGTGCAGTTGGTGAGTTTGTCCAGTCTTTTCTTGGATCATTCCTTGACACTAAATCGTGTGTGTATTAACTGAAGATCTGGTTGTTGCGTTGGCAACAGCTTGTGGACCTAGGGCAGGCCATCCTGAAACATACGGGGCAACCATTATATTGAATATTATTTTTTTGATGTTTGGTTTAGTGCTCTTCAACTGTAACTACACTTATTATATTCTACAGTCAGGAAAATGAAAATTTGAAGTAATAACACCTCAGCATTTTTTAAATTCTTGCTGTTTCAATCATGAGTGAATGATAGAAGACTAAAACTGTAAAATATCTCTTGAAAGCTAGCCATTGGATTTCTTAATTATTGCATTGTATTTTTAAAGTTATTAAGTAATATGATGTAATGGGAACAATGTTAAATATGTCAAATGGTAATTTTAGCAGTTTTAAGTGTACAGTATACCATTGTCACAAGAACTCCATATGAAATACTGTTAGTAGCCATATAACATCAAACATTTTACTGTGCAAAAGGAGTTTAAATGACTGTAGTGCAGTGATTCTCAAATCTTTTCAAGTGCGACCCAATTTTTAATATCGGAAATTTCAAGTCCCATTGATTCAAATGGAAAAAAAAATTTCTTGTCATATCAACTAGCAATTTAATAGCAGGGTATAATTAACAATAAGTAGAGTGGTAAAAGGCTCCCATTGTGTACCAGTGACCTAGAGTTAAATAAAAAATTGGCAAAAGTATAACCTTACTGGATCATCGCGACCCACTGAAAATCGGCTCATGACCCGTGGTTCGAGAACCACTGTATGGCTGTTCATTCTCTTCCTTTGTCTCACCCTTAGATTAACCATAAAATTAAGTGAATTATGGCAGCATGTGAAAGTAATTTAGCTCACAATATATTATTCTTATTTGATTTTCCATTTGCAGTGGTTATTATTTCAAAAAAAGGCTACTAGTATTTTTTCATGTGGTTTATTACCAATCTAGAAATGTTAAGCAACTTTAAATATGTGTACTATATTATGTAACTAACTATGGCATACTGTATATGCACACAAGACATAGGCTGACTGTATACTAATCTGTTGTCAAATGATTATTGAAAGATATTTTTATGGTCACAAGAACTATATCCGTAGGTTTTCCATCTACTGTATTATTAAATGTGCTGAAAAATAAATTATCAGCACAAAGAGTTCCACTCCTCATAGTACCAAAGTTGATTCGTTTGTGGAATATGTTCACAAACTTTGTTTCTGTAGGGTAGATGTTTCCTTTACCTCAAAAGAGCTTCTTTTAGGGCTTGGAGTTCATACCTTTCTGGATTTAAATGACATAATAAAATACCCCTGTACAGTACAGTATATGTTTCAAAATTCTGTAAGGGAATTGGTGCCATTTTTAGTGAAAAATATGCACCCTTTTTTCTTATAAGATGATTAACACAGGTTACATTAGTGTGTTGATGTTTGTGATGCCAAATGTATTAATCCCTGGGGAAAATCCTTGATAATGTTTCTCAAGTAACGCAATGATGAAGAGTTGTGGAATTTTTCAGGACATTGTAGATTTCAAAATTATTTTTCCCTCGTGTGTGATGCTTTGATATATAATTCTTGTGTTCCTTCTGCAATATACTTTATTTCAATCGGTGTTCTTTACATTCCTTGTCTATATTTGCACAAATTATATATTTATGTAACAAAAGCTTATTATTTAAAAATTTTCCTTGCAATGATAAAGCCGTTGAAAACAAAACTTATTTTTTTTTTTTTAATGTAATGTGGCACCATGAAAGAAACAATGGAAAGAGTAACTCTGTTTTGTGATAGAAGCAAGGGAATATTAAGAAAAACATGAGACTTGATTAAATGACAGCTGGGGACTTGTACATGGATAAGTGATTTGGAAAATACTGTATGAAACATCTTCCTGAATAATAGGAGTGGCCATTGTGTAGAATAAGACAGTTGCAAATGTGCCATAATTGCTTTATACAATACATAAAAATAAGACTGAAAAGATAATAGAGATGGCCTAATGGGGATTGAAACTTGGATTGTCCATCAGATCTTTGAACCATTTATATATATATATATATATATATATATATATATATATATATATATATATATATATATATATATATATAAACCTTACTATACTTTTGTTGTCTAATGCAACTGAATGGGTGACAAAACAAGGGTGTCAAATTATTTATGTTAGAGGGAAGGCCACAGTCAACAGCAATGGTTCCAATTTACTTCAACCTAGATGCAACACTTTTGAGATCAATCCTTGACTTTGTATTTGGCTTTACAGGATGTTTTTCATGGAATACCTGACAGGCTTCCCTCTGGATTTTCCTGGAGACATGTAAGAACACAAGTTCTACATTCTCCTTATTAGTAGCTATAATTTATGTTAGTCTTATGTGAAATCTTGCATACAAGCAATTCACAAAACTGGTTAGGTAGTTTATTTCAATGACAGAACAGCTAAAAAAAAAAAATGCTTATTTGCCCCCCCCCCCAATTCGTTCCAGAAGGTTGCTCGTTAAAACCATTGTTTCAATGGGTTTTTGGGTAATTGGTTCCAGCTCACCGAAAATTACATACAAACTAAAAATAAATGCAGTAAAGTACACTTACTTTGAGGTGTGCATGTAGAAGGCTCCTGGTTGATGATGATGGGAATTAGAATGGGGGTGGAGGAGAAGGGAGAAGGCATTGGGGTGGAAGAGAAGTCACCCCATGCCGCCATTTCACCCATAAAATTTTAGTTCACTTGGTGTAATTCAAGATTATTTTCTTTAAATCAACACTGCACTGCGCTATATATTATCAATATGTAAAATATATTTCAAAATGACCAATAAATGGACTGGAAACACAAAAAAAGCATTTATGTTGAGTCTCAAACAAGATGTTCCTTCCTCTGAACTGGTAAACAAACTTGACGCCAAGCTTGGTGTGTCGAGTGGCTGTTTGGCGCGCAAAAAACTAGTTCCTGTACTTCAATTATTTTCAATAATTGTTAAAATGACTAAAAAATTTAATATAAAACTTTTAAAATTATTGAATAGTACAACCTTCTTGATATTTACTAAAATGGTAAGGAATTTAAGCCCTAAAACCGATTTTATATATATATATATATATATATATATATATATATATATATATATATATATATATATATATATATATATATATATATATATATATAATACTATTTTTTTCCTACCTAATTTGCACAGAATTGTTTTGATACACTGAAAAATTATGGCACAAAATTATTAGGAATCTGAAATCATTAAGTACACAGAAATGGTTAATACTATGTACCAATGAATTACAGTGAATTGCAACCTACATCAGTACCACATTCATTTCTCCCAACTTGATACAAGGGGCACTACTCAGTCGAGTGTCCTTACTTGGAGCTGGCGGACGCTCGCCCCACAGGGGGTTCACAGCTCAAGATTGAAGGAGCCGCAAGTCCAGAAAACTGTGAGGGCAAACTTTTCGGAGTGAGAGTTGTGAACTCTTGGAACAATCTACCAGAAAGTGTTGTGACAGCACCGAGTGTGAGCTCTTTCAAGACAAGACTTGACCAACACTGGAGCGGGTTTCAGGTACATTCATGAGCCGGTTGGTGTCACACGAATGTTAGCAAGTTGATCGTGTCGACCAGGAACGTGTGTAGGGTGTTTAATTATTTGTTCCAGATCATTAAGTAAGGAAAAAGAGAGTGTCTCAGCTCCACCTGGGTCATACCTTGTAGAGCCAAGCCACTCTCTGTGATGTACAGTACATTGAAATCCCCTAGGTAAAGTAATAATAAATGTTTGAGGAATATACTGTATCAGATTCTTATATATCGAAACTAAAGTGTTCTGCAAGTGAAACTTTTAAATAGTAAGCAACACTCAACATGTCACTTTGTATCGGAGAAGATGGTGGTTGCAAAACAATATTGTATGAATCCTTAAAATTGTGACGTTCGTGTTTTTACAGGAAAACCTATTTTTCTGATGGTTTCTTCAAATATGACCTCCATTTCCTTGGGGAATTAGTGGTTTTCAAGGAAATAATGATTTTACATGTTAAAGATATATATAACTAGCCAACCAAACAAACCTACCTAACCTTACCTAACTTCCTAGCTGCCCCCACCATATTAAACAGAAAGTACTCATTTTGATATCTGGTACCAATGGAAGCAACTTTCTTGAAGCGTTATTGTGTAATTTTAAGTTTTTAATGGCGGGAGAGAAAACTAGGCGGTTCAGTTGTAAACAAACAAACGACACGCTTCGACTTGACAGATTTTTAGGAGTATTTACGGTAAATAATCCAACTTTCGACAATACCTCCAAAACAATGACTATACAAGGATGTTGAACAGTAACGTAACCTATATCGTAAGTCCAAATAGCAAAATATTAACTCTCTATAGGAAACACGAACGTCAGTAAAACCAACCTTAACTCCCATGTTTCCTATTTGACACACTCTATTCCCCATTATAACAAGTACGAAATATAATAGGTTAGACCATTAGATGTTGCACTTAGCTGCGGGACTTGAAGGCTGAGTATCCGTATTTGGTGGCAAATGAAATACTTCCTGTGGTAAAGGTTTGCTCCTTGCCTCCTCCTACCTCAGCCACTGGTCGTTAGGGTTGGGGCCGTTTTCTCTGTCCCGGACGGTCAGTCGTCACCCTCCCCTGTCCGTCTCGACCTAACGAAAGTTCGAATCCATTTCATATACAGTAGTCTGGCCTTATATTCGGTACAGGGTCGGTTGGAGTACAATACTTGTATTTTCAATTTTATATTTACAATTTTATACGTTTTAGAGAAATATTCATCTATTTAATTTACTGTACACAGATTGTTTAAATTTATAATAATCTTATCATTTAGTTTCGAGTAGCATATTTTCTAAGTATCGTGTCTAATAATATCTATTTACAAATCTGACAACTTTTGTAAAACAACACGAACCGACCAAACCAAATTGGCGTCCCAATTTAACGACAACAAACATACGCAAAGACGCGACATTTGTTTGGCTCGTGCTTGTTTGTTATACTGTGTGGGATTTTTAGGATGTTTGGTTCACACTCAGGATGGGATGGAGAAAGGAAACTCACAATGTACTCTCATGTATACATGTTGTATTGGATGTACAATGCAGTTTGGTGCTGGGAAGGTAGCATGGTTACAAGTGTGATGTAGAGAGAGCTGGTTGGTGAGGATGCTCAGAGGAGGACAGCTTGTGGGTCGCCATGCTCGCCGGCGGGAGCGAGGACCGCCAGGCAGGCGGAGGAGAAGGTGTTGCTGGCTGGTTGGTGTAGGTAGAAAGAGAGATAACCACGAGGTCAGGTCTTAAATAGCGGGGGTTGGCGTGCCTTAGTAGTTGACCCCCGCTCCGTGGGCGGCGCTAGTTGACCTAGACCACGAGGCATACACTGGGGAATTGGTGGGGTCGGCTACTCAGCGACAAACAGCGTTTGTAGGGGAGAAATCCACTACAACTGTACTATTGAATGGCATTGTACAGTAAGAATCTCTGATCTATTTTTATAAATATAACGTTAGGGGGTTCCAACCAATTACATCCGTGTCCCCCCTGGACCTCGCTACCTATACCCATAGTTCACCTCTTCCGGGAGACAGAGAACTTATTTTGTTTTAATTTTTTACGTTAGTTTTCATTATTCTAATTGATAAGTCTTTTACAGTATATACCTACAATTATCGCATCAAGTATTGAAAATGGTATTGAAATATATTCTGGCCATTAACTAATACTACGTGAATTATCTACTTCGTCTCTCTATAATATTGATGTAATTTTTTGTCAATTTTTTGCTTCGGCTGAAGTAAACCAGCTCTAGATACATCCTTGTATCCCGTTACACAGAATATTATTTAAGCCTGCTTGGCCGGTAAATCTAGTATGGTCTTGAATGAACTCGCTCGCTACTGTCGTCTCTGCCTCATTATACAGTACCGAGAAAAATAAAATCTATAAACTTGCTTTGCGTCGAGGGATGGAAGCTAGGCTGTGTCTGGTATATTAGGCGCCTCGAGTTATCTTTTGCATTATCATCGACGTCACTCAATTATTAATATTTTCTCTTTCATTATTATCATTTCTAACTACATCTTTGTGGTTATATATTTCATTGTTAGTGTATAATTAGTTTACTATTGGGGATGATCCCTTTTTGTAGTGTTAAAGGTTTGTGTTGAAATATAGGTTATAGCCGAAATGGAAATATTAAACCATATTTTTTTCAATTACATGTATGGTCATTTTTATCTCGGTAAAATTAATAGGGAGATACATTTTCATATCTATCAGTGAAATGAATGTGTATTTTTTACATTTCTATTACAGTAAAATTAATATGTAGACATTTTTTCCCTCGTCAACAAAAAAAAAATATGTTTACCTATATCGGTAGTTGCTTCACTAAATAAATCACAGCTACCAGACGCAAGTTAATCGATGAGGATTACACACAATAAAGAGATTTCAAGAATTTTATTTACTCCCGTAAAATTCGTTTAGATAAATAAAGGACAAAATCTCAGGAAAATTACGTGACGTCATAATGAGTTCAGCATTAAATATTGTCTAACTCTTTCGTGAAAACTATAAATATTATAACAGAGGGGATAAGAAAAAAAT